GGCGTTGCTTCTGTCATCCTGGATTTTCAATGACCTTTACCCACGCCCTGGGTGGTGGAACCACATCCAAGGCAGTGGCTGAGCAGTGCCCGGGGGTGGCCGTGGTGCCACTGAGCCCAAGGAGCCACCTGCTGTGGCACTGCCTGGGAAGGATCACTGTCCCCATCCATCCCCTCTAGGACACACAGCCACCAAGGTCCACGCTGATTTTCCTGCTGAGGAGGAGCCGGAAGGGAAGGGCAGGGGCAGAGATCAGGAGGCAAATCTTGGCTCTCAAACAATAGCTATTGTGTAAATGTATTTTTACTTCTGTCCTAAAAAAAACCCAAGTGATTTTGGTGTGTCCTGAAAATTGCAGTTACTTAAATGCCAGGATTTTTGTGGAATCATAAAAGGGTTTGGGTTGGAAGGGACCCAAAGACCATCTTGTTCCACAGGCAGGGCCATCTTTCTCTGTGCCAGGTTTGTGCAAGCCCCACTGAACACTTCCAGGGCTGGGGAGTCGATATCCAGAGAAGATGGACACAACATTTATATTACAGTATCCGCATCTGTAGAAGCAAATAAACCTAAATCTTTTGATGTCCTGAGACAGTGTGAGAGCTGTTAGGGCTGCCTGGGGAGTCTCCTGGAGGGGCTGGGACTGGGATCACTGGGGTGGGACAGAGACCCTGGGCTGGGGCACTGGGGTCCCACGTGGGGGTCCCAGGTGGGGCCAGCCAGGGACATGCATGTCCTGGCAAAACCAACCCCAGCACAAACTGTTTTGAGAGTTCCAGGTCATTTCAGTGAAGCAGTCAAATGAATCAATTCTGATTTTGCTTCTTTCTTTGCCTAATTAGACAATGGGGAGATTTATGGAATAATTGAGCCAACTCAATGTAGCTGTAATTTGACATCTAATTAATCAATGTCCCGCTCCTTCACAGGTGCAATATAAACCCCTCCTAACTGCTGCAGGCATGTCTCTATTGTTTCTCTGGAAAAAATCCCCAATCCAACCCCATTTCTTGTTTGCTCCTGCCACTGGAGCACAGAAGCTGCAGGAATTCTGTCGTTGCCCCCAAACAGCAGAAGAGACCTTGCTGGGTGGTCTCATCCCACAGGTCCCACGGGATGGCCTCGGTGCAGGCTGCTGGAGGCACAGCTGCCTCCTGATGCTGCTGAAAGTTTGGGAAGCAGCTCTTCTCACCAAAATACTGCTGGCTGCCAAGCGGGTGCCGGAGGTCTGTCAGTGGGGAGGGAGGGATTGTGTTCCTGCAGCTGGCCGAGCCTGGGGAGTGCAGGAAGCTGCAAAGGTACCACCAGGACACGCAGGGATCCAAGGAAAATCCTGGTCCTATTAGAGTTAATAGGAGTTTTGCATTTGACCTCAGCAAGGTCAAGGATTTTACCCAAGGAATATTAGTCATCAGCATCGGGATGAATTAGAGGACTTGTCAACAAGAAGCAGGCAAGGTTAGTCCCATGGGTGGCTGAGCTCGGAATTGGAACGGCTGGAAAAATAATGTCCAGCTTATTCCATTTATCCCCGTGCTGCATGCGGGCCCTGCGTGCAACACCTCAGCATTCCCCGCCTGCTCTGTTCCAGCCCATCGGACACGCTGGGGAACGCTTTGTTTGGGATGGAGCGGGGAACTGTGGGGTAACATTTCCTTGGGAAGCTTCCCGGAGCCGGGCTCAGCTCTCACAAAGCAGCCCTGGGAAGGCAGTGCACAGCCTATGGTTCCCGTTTCCAGGAGATCCCATCCAGCCTGAGTCCCACTGGCAGCAGGGTCCAGCCCAGCAGATCCCTGGGGATCGTGTGGATTGCACAGCTGGAAGCCAGCGCTGCTGCCACCCTGCCAGGGGACAGCTGCTCCCGTGCTCCGTCCCCCTGCACCAGGGGAGGTGACAAAGCCCGAGGTGTGAGCCAGCCCTTCCCTGCCAGAGCCCTGGGATCCTTCCCAGCTGAGCCCAGTTGGTTTTGGGTGTTCCTGAGGCCACACACTCACCCAGACTCGGATCCCTGAAGGATGCACGGGATGGGGCACAGGAGTCACGGGGGACATCAGCTCCTCAGGAAAACATGGATTATTGTCCTTGCAGAAACCTGCTCATGGGAGTGGGAGCCAATATTTGGCAGGATTTGTTTCCTAGAGAAGCAGTGCTGATCTGTGAAACTTGGAGGGTTTGGAAATTGCTCACGTTCAGGAAGGAGCAGAGCTGGATTTTGGGTTGGTTCAGGTTAAACCCTAAAGCTGGGTCTGTGCCCCCAGTATGTGGAAGGGACTGGGGGTGCTGGTTTGCACTGGGAGCTCTCTTCCATGGCAGAGTCCTGGAGCTGTGGGCTCTGAGGAGGGTGTTTGCATCCAGCCCTTGTTCCAGGATGTGCCCAAGGACCCTCAGTGAGCTCTCAGTGCTGTCACTGCCAAGGACCAGGATGGTTCCTGCAAGGATGAGCAAAACAACAGAGAAAACACTGCACAATCAGAGCCACCAACGTGGTCCTGGTGGATATTTAAATCCAAAATGTTTTGGATACTTAAATCCAAAGTGGTTCAGATATTTAAATCCAAATGTTGTGGATACTTAAATCTAAAGTGGTTTGGATATTTAAACGCAAAATGTTTTGAATATTCAAATCCAAACTGTTCCGATACATGTTCTTTGAAAAAGAACCAACAAAAGCTATTTATACATTTGCTTGAGAAGTTCCCTACTCTCATTCTGCACTGCATTGATGATCTCTGTGTTTCTCCTTTTAGGAGGGTGACTGGAAGAAGCTGCCAGCTGAATTTCTGTTTCATTTTCCTCCAAGTTTTAATTGAAGTCAGGAGAAGTGTGGCTGGGCTCCCTATTTCAGGGAGCTGTTTCCTGGCACGGCACCCAGGGTGCCTCTGGCTGCAGAGCAGTGCATTCCACATTGCTCCCATCAGGCTGGGCTTGAAGGGAAGGCTGTGAGTGCCTGGTGACAAGCCTGGGGACAGCAGGTGACACAGAGCTGTGCTGGTGCCACACACGAGGTGCAGGCTGAGGCTTGGCTCCAAGGGTAGGAAACACAGAATATTTGGGGTGTAAAAGCTGGTTTTGATGGCCAGCTGATAACTCACCGTTATCAGTGAACTCAGGGTGAATTGCAGGATGTGATTCTGGAACTCAAGGCAATAAATTCCAAGTTCTCACTATGAATTGACTTCATTCCCCACAGACTCAGTGGTTTGTCCTGAGGGCAAGGTGAGGATTTGTTGGTCCAGGTGTTGAAGATTAAATGGACAATATCTCCTTTCCTCATCTCCCAGACCTCCTGTGGAAATCTCCCGTCGTGTGTCCATCCTCACCCTTGCCCTGCTGCTCTTCCATATCTTCTGTGACTGAATTTGGCTTTATCAAGGTTCTTCTGATCACTTTGCCACATTCCAGGACCTGACACCCATGTTCTAGCTGATACAAGGATTTTCAGGAATCTGAACATTTCACGTCTTTCCCAAGAGCTTTGGGGAGTCTGGAGCCAGTTTTGAGTTTTTTGGTTTTACTCCCCACCCTGCACTCCCTGTGCTGAGCCCACCTGTGGCCTCACCATCTTCCTGCAAGTCCCCTGGAGCACCACTGTCCCCTGGGGCCACCATCATGGGAAGTAATTAAAAGTTATGGGGAGAAAAGGCAAGCAGAGATGGCCAGGAGTGCAGACAGCCCAAGAGGAGAAAGCAAACAAGAGAAAGCAAACGGCCTTTTCAGTTTAGCCTGATTTCCCTTTCCCTGGCAGCTCCTTGCTCCAAGGCCCAGGGATTCTCCCCAGAGGTTTGAGGGTGTTTGGGTGGATCAGGCTGAGAACCCCTCTGTCCTGTGAGGCCCAGGCAGCAGAGCTCAGGCACCCCCATGCTGCCAGAAATTAATTTTTCCTCATTCTAATTTGGGTAAATGCTCATTCCCAAACACTGGCATCTCACCTGTCGGGATAACAAACGGCAGAGCTCTGGCAGCCAGGGAGACAAACACAGGAACACTCAGTGCTTGTGAGGGACCAGGCTCCAAGGACAAACATTTGCATTTCGTGGGACAACATTCCCAGCTTTGAGCCAGAAACCTGTGCAGCAGCCACACCAGGGGAGCAGGAACCAAACCACCCTGGCAGATCCCTCAGACCCCACTCCCTCCACTCCCTTTCCAGCCTCAGGCCATCCTCCTCCTCCTCACACTGCACAGCCAGCCTGGGCAAGGCCAGCAACTGCATCCACTGAGTGGAAGGTACAGGAAAAAGCAGGTTTTTCCTCGTTTTTCCACATTTCTGGCAACATTTTTTTTTGCCAAAGATACATTTTGCTAGGTTGGAAAATTTCAAGTTTTATTTCTAGTCAGCCTTGAATGATCTCTGGGCTCATTTCTTCACTTGCAGATTTCTCGTTCTTTTTTTGCCACCCTCTTTTGTTTTCAGTCTCTTCTACAGCATTTCCTCCACTTTGGAATCATTTGAAAGTAACAAAGAAAATCAAACAAACTGGGAATTTTCCAGATTTGCAGAAATTTTGAACAGTTACAGAACGGAGAAGAGAATTAAAAAAAAGGAAAGTTTAAAAATTACATTCAGTTATAAAGTAGAGCAAAACCAGGAAAAAGAGGGAAAATCAAACCAGTTAAATATTTAAAATTATTTTCCAGCCATACAAAATATTTCAAATTTCTCAATTTAAACCTGAAAGCAGCAGCAGGACACATATAAACAATAAAAGGATAAAATCCACCAGGATGAAATAAGGAAAATTAACTTTTCCCACCGAGTTGATTGAGCAAAGCAGCAAGTCCTCACTCCTGGCATTCTCTTGGCAGTGTCCCGGTGCACCTCAGGGCTGGGTTTCTAACCACATTCCCTGGCTGAAGAAGCAGCCCTGGATTTCCCAAGGGAGGGTGGCAGCTGCTCCTGGGGCAGTGTCCCCATGGCGGGCCGTTGTCCCTCGGGCCCTGTGGCTGTGCAGGCTCTGGGTGGCCTGGTGGCCGTCCCGCGGGGTTTGGTGGCCCCGGGCCTACAGGTAGGTGGTGGCCTCGCGGCCGTGGCGCTGGCGGGCCTGGGCCACGGCCACGTTGAGGCACTGCAGCCACTGCTCGGCGTTCTTCTCGTCCTTGGCCTTGAACACGTAGGTCCTGCTGTCCGTGAAGATCTCGAAGGCCCGGGGCAGGCTCCGGTCCCGACGCTTCTTGGGCACCACCTTGACGCTCTGCACCTTGCTCAGCTCGATGGGGCGCTCGTCGGGGTCGTCCTTCTGCACGCGGGGGACAGGCAGCGTCATCCGCGGGGGAACCCGGCCTCACAAACTGCTCAGGGCTCCTGGCAGCGTCCCACGCCAGCCTGGACAGGGCTGGGACAGTGGAAGGTGTCCCTGCCGTGGCAGGGGTGGCACTGGGTGGGATTTAAGGTCCCTTCCAGCCCAAACTACGCTGGGATTCTATGAACTCCTCCTTCTTTGTGGAGATGTTCCCAGGAGTCACCAGCTGCTGCTGCTGCCACATCTTGTGGCTGCCCTGTCCCTGGAAGTGTCTAAGGGGCTTGGAGCAGCCAGGGACAGTGGAAGGTGTCCCTGCCATGGCAGGGGGACAGAATGAGATGGTCTTTATGTCCCCTGAAAATTGGGAACCCAGCAGTGACAGCTCCTGGGCAGCACTCTGGCTGCCCTTGATGTCCCCTGCCATGCACTTTGTGAGTGGGAAAACCACCACAGGCAAAGGTGAGGGGTGAAATCCTCTGGGAAAACCAGAACAGGCAAAGCTGAGGGGTGAAATCCTCTGGGAAAACCAGAACAGGCAAAGCTGAAGGATGAAAGCTTCTGGGAACACCACCATGGGCAAAGCTGAGGGGTGAAAGCCTCTGGGAAGAGCAGAACAGGTAAAGCTGAGGGGTGAAAGCCTCTGGGTAAACCAGAACAGGCAAAGCTGAAGGCTGCCAGCCCCTGGGAGCAGCACCATGGGCAGATCTGAGGGCTGCAGCCCCGGGAGCAGGGAGCAGGGCAGGGAGCAGGGCAGGGAGCAGGGCAGGGCTGCTCTGGACTCACGGATTTGCCCTTGCGGAACAGCAGCTGGTTGCCAGCCAGGGTGAAGTAGCGCGTTTTCCACCTCTTGATGAACTTCCAGCGCACCTGCTTCTCCTTCAGCTTGCCCTCCATCAGGGGCTGCCCGTCCTGGTTGATGCCTGGGGAGGGAGCACAGGGCCAGGGTTAGTCCTGCCCTCCCTGTTCCCCAGCCAAAGGCTCTGCCGTGCTGCAGGAAGGTTGTTCTGCCTTCCTCATTCTCCCAGCCTCCAGCCTTCAGCTCTCACTCCACACAGACAGCTCAGCCCTCAGCCATGTCCTGCTGGAGAGGCCAAGCAGATGGAGCTGACAGCTCACACCCCTCGTCCATCTCTTCTCCTACTCCCTCAGCCATGCCAAACTTCTCCCCACCACTGCACCTCCCAGTTGCTCCCCAGCCCTGCAGTTCCCATTTCTGGCCTTGGGCACTGCCAGGGATCCAGGGCCAGCCACAGCTGCTCTGGGCACCCTGTGCCAGGGCCTCCCACTCTCCCAGGAGGAATTCCTTCCCAGGATCCCACCTAACCCTGCTCTCTGGCAGTTTAAAGCCCTGATATCTCCTATGGGTCTCTTTTTCCTTTCTCTTCTATCTTTCCATCGATGGCCAGGACACAAAGGACTAGCTAGACTGGAGGGCAGTGCAGGCACAGGCGTCTGAGCAGGGATGTTTTTGGATGGGGTGTTTGCCTTGGAGCCCATCCCAGCATCTGTCAGAGGGGCAGTGATCCCTGGCTGGCTGCTCTCCCAGCCCCCCGTCCCTCCAGCACCGCTTTTCCTTGAAAGCCTTCGCTGCCGTCGGCAGCTCCTGAGCCCAGAGCTGCCCAGGGCGTCCAAGTGCCACCCAAGGGAGTGCCAAAGGCTTTATGGCCTCCTGGGCACCCAGCCCCTGTCTGGAAGAGGGCAAACCAACGCCAAGACAAGGCATCAGCTGTAGATAAAGGATGTGTCCTTCCCCCAGCGCTGTTTTCCTTGGCAGCGAGGCTGGCGGGGGGTGCAGTGTGGACTCGTGCAATTTCCTCAGGAAAGACCATAAATATTCCTGTCTCTGCAGGCAGGGAGCGCTTGGAAGGAGATGGATGAATGAAAAGGGGGTTGGCAGAGCCTCAGTGCCTGGGGGAACTGCAGCTGTGATTGCCACGGCAGGAGCAGGCCGTGCTCTGCTCCACGCAGCCCCTTCAGCCCTGACTCCACAGCTCTTCTGGATATTTTTGTGCCAGCACCGAACACAGCACCAGCCTGGCATGGGCAGAGTAAAGCAGAGAGTTGCTTTATCCCTGTATAAATATTGTCACTGCAAAAGGGGATACATTTCCCAGGAGGCTGGTTTGGGCTGCACCCTCTCCCCACATGCTCTTTAGTGGGACAGAACCACGCTTTAGTGTCCCCTGTACTAAAAACTTTGTAATTTCGTTAAATATTGTTCCTTTCCTGGCTCCTGGTTCCACAGGAACATCTTCAATCCCATTCCAGAGCCGTAGAAAAATGTTTCAAGCGAACTAAGAGGGGTAAAGCACAAAAGGCTCAGGGACCAGATGATACCGAGATAGTTTGTGGTCAGGAGCACAACATGAGAAGGGAAGTGAATGTGCAATTTTGGCCTAAAGTGAATTTTAATGGCCAAAATCTTTCAAACCCATGATCTGCTAAGAAATGTTGATCTCTGTAAGGAGCCAGTGGCTTTAGGCAATGCTACCAAAGGACTTCTCCTGTGTATCCACAAAGGAGCCCGGGGGAGTTCTGGTGGCAGCTTCCAAAGTGGCCGTAATGAATCCGATGCCAGCGTGTCTGAAGGGCTGATTAGGAGAGAGAGATTCAAGCAAGATAAGAATAAAACTCTTTTCCAATGTTTTTCTAAGTCCTTCTGCTTATTTTCCTTGCGGTTGACTTCACAGAATCCCAGAATAGCTCAGCTGGAAGAGAGCTCGAGGGGTCTCTCCTGCAGCTCCAAGCAAGGTCACCCACAGGGTCAGACTGGGCTGCTCGTGGGTTTATCCACGTGGGACTTGAAAAATCTCCACAACATCTCTGGGCAAGCTGTGCCAGTGCTTGATATCCTCACGGTGGGAAAGCTTCCACTCACAGGGAACAATTCCTGTCCAATATCCCCTCTAAACCTCTCCCCTTTCAGTTTGAAAAGGTCATGAAATATCCAAAGGTCTTGAAATGCCTATTTTTTCTTAAATCATCTTAATATAGACACACTGACTCTAGTTTAACCCTGAGTAGTTCCTGTTGATGTGTCTTTCTACTTTCTATCTTGCTTTCTTTGCAGAACTACAACACATCCAGCTCTAAGTAGTTTGGGTACTGAATAAAAAGTTTAAAACCCTCCAAACTCTTCCAAGATGAACTTGAGACAGATAAAACCCAAAGCTTTAAATCTTGAATTTGATGAAACATAAAATCCTCCACAAGAATTCATGAATGATCTCAGTGATAATAAACCCCTATGAACTTGAAAGAATGGAATGTGTGGCAGATAAATGCAATTAACCTCGGGGAATATGGATTCGCTCTCTTCCATTAATCACCACATTGGGTTTTGCTGAAAACCTGGAAGGAACACATTGCTGGATGCCACTTTTTATGATTTTCCAGTGAGGATTAGAGCTGGGCTCCTTCATTTCTCTGGATAGCTGGCACTTCAGGAGGGGGATAAATGTATTCCCAAGTGAAGGTGGTGTTGGCTTTCCCAGGGAACTGCAGTTTTCCAGAGGAATTCCCAAACACTCTCAGTTCTTCCCCAATCCCAAATCCTTGCCCATGGCTCCTCTGCAGCCCCAGGGATCCCTGCCTGTCTTTGTGAGCTTCCAGAGGGGGGAAGGAGCTGGAATTCCCTCAATTCCCTCGTGGGCTCTCCGGTGGTTTTGCAGAATGTTTTGTGCAAGAGCTCGTGGAGCCAAACTCCCAGTCCAGGGGGTTGTGCTGGAATGAGGCTCCCAGCAGGCAGCTTGTCTCAACAGGAGGAATCCTGGTGCTTTCCAGCACTCCAGGTGCCTGTGCTGGAGTGGAGCACAGGACGGTGTGAGCTGCTGTTCCTCCCCTGAGCCCAGGGCAGAGCAGCAGGGTTTGTGGGAATGCTGCTCCTCAGGGGCAGGAAAAGCCAATCCAGGGTGATTGAACAGCACTTCTGGACAAGTGTGGCTGTACAAGACATGCTTTGGCACCAGAAGAATGCATGAGGAGGAGTCAAACTTTCTCCAGTTGTCACTGTGGGTGCATCAACCACTTTGCTTCAGCTTAACTGGTTCTTTCCACTCAGGATCAGCTTCCAGCCCCAAAATCCCTCCCAGCTACAGCCAAACAGGAATCACAGAAACATGGAATGGTTTGGGCTGAAAAGGATCTTAAAAATCATCTCACCCCACTCCTGCCATGGCAGGGACACCTTCCCCTGTCTCAGGTGCTCCAAACCCCAGTGTCCAGCCTGGCCTTGGGCACTGCCAGGGATCCAGGGGCAGCCCCAGCTGCTCTGGGAATCCCATCCCAAGGCAAGGCCAGGGCTTTAAGGCAGTGTTTGCCCAAGTCTGGAGGATAAATGGCATCTTGCACCACGGCATCCAAAAAATGCAACAAAACCCCACAAGAAGCAAACCCAGCAGACAATAATAGAAAACAATTTTGCCTCTGAATTCCTTCTTCAACAGGAATTCGGTTGCTAAACAGAATTGCTGAGAGGAAGAACTTGCTTTCTTGCCTCTCAACAAGTATTTCAGATTTCAAAGGGTCTTTCACACTCGGGAATGAAAATAAAAGATGTTTCACAGCCTTTAAATTCCTTACCAATCCAAGGAGACCTCCAAATCCTTCCTTGTGTCAGATCCTACAAACCCAGAGAGACCCTGCAGGGTCTCCCACTCTGCCACGAGCCTTCCCAGCTGCCACAGCTCTGCAGCACCAATACAAAGGTGGAGTTGTCACTCCCTGCAAATTTTTATTCCACTGACCTCCCTCTTCCATGCTGCCTTCCTCAGCTTTCTCATGACCCATTCAGGGAATTTATTTTCTTGATTTTCTAAAGGCCTTTGGAGCTCAGAAGCAAATCATGATACTCACAATGAGCCTTTCTTACAAAAATTCTTTTAAAGTGAGACAAAGAGAGCAACTGCTGATGCAAAGGACAGTTACAGCCAGGAGAGCAGGAGTGAGGCAAGGCTGGACTGCTTAAATGTCTTTGGAAATTCAGACCAAAGTTGCTTCATTAAGCTTTGACATTTTAAACAAGAGTCTCGTTTTCCTCATCACTCAACATCCCTGACGTGATGGGGAAACCACACTGAGAGCTCTGTGGAGATGAAGTTTTAACTGAGAGCAGGGTTTCTGGTCCTGGAGTCCCACGGGAGCTGGGGAAGGAGAAGATGCTCAAACAGCCATGGAATGAGCAGGGGCAGCCCGGCCTGTAGCAGCAGCTGGCCACTCCTGCAAGACTTCCTAAATTCGGAGTTGATGCAGTCTGAAGAGACAATAACTGTTAGAATAAATCTCTGAAACAGCGAATTATTCAAACACTTGGCCAGAACGGTCCAAATTCTTGGCCAGGACTGGTCAGACTTTTATGGAGTGGCAGAAAGCATCTGAGAACAAGACATTCCTCTGCCTGTCAGGGCACTGATCTGGCACTGCTGGCTGCCAGAGAGCTTCAAGAGCAGGGCTCCAGGAGCTTATACTGGGGAAAAAGGCTGGTTTTCCCCATTTCCCACCCACCCTCTTTTCCAATACAGCTGAAGTATTATGCCTTTAGAAGACTTAATCACCATGTCCCTAAGGAGGTGTGCACTGTGGAGTAAATTGTACTAAAGCAAATAATTCTGAGAGTGAAGGAAGCAGGAACCAGGTATTGTTTCTGTGCCAATGTGCCCTGACTTGTGGCACCTGGGTGGGCTGCAGAGGAGCTGGGATGTGGTCCAGGAGATGCAATCCTGTATCTGGACACTGGAGGATGGCTGCAGAGCCCTCCCACTCCCCAGGGCTCAGTGATGGTGCAGATTTGGGGTTGTGTCCCTCTAAGCACACACCAAATCAGGTTTGGTCCTGAATGCCTCACCAAAGATGAGTTTAAGAGAGAATTCCAACTAAAATAGCCACTGGAAAGTTTGGTTTCCCCTTTTCCCACCATAGCCAGACACCCAGCACGACCAGTGAGCTTCACTCCAGGCACTGCAGCCCCCAGGGACAGAGGCAGGACCCCTCTGTACCTGTTGCCTTCTCGGGGTTGTTGCACATGAAGCACTGCCAGGCTCCTGCCTCCTCGCTGTAGCCAAACAAATCAAAGAACCTCACTTCCTCCAGGTGCATCTGAACATTCTCCAGCTCCTGGGAGGGAAGGAGAGAAACCAAACTCATGAGGTGAAGAAGCACCAGTACCCCAAATCCAGAGGGACACAGGGGGTCCTTCCCATGTCTTCTGCAGAGGGACAAGGGGCCAGGGCACTGAGCTGGGCAGGGCAGGGCACTGAGCTGGGCACTAAGCTGGGCACTGAGCTGGGCTGGGCAGGGCACTGAGCTGGGCACTGAGCTGGGCAGGACAGGTCTCTCCCTCCACCAGCAGTAGCAGCTGATCATGAATTATGGATTGGGGCTGGTCTAGGTTTTGTTTTTCCTCTGCCATGCCACTGTCAGCAGCCTGGCCCGGCACTTTTCCCAACAGCTGAACCACCTTGGAACACAAGAGTGATGAGGACAGGCTGAGGGAGCTGGGAAGGGGCTCAGCCTGGAGAAAAGGGGGATCAGGGGAACCTTGTGGCTCTGCACAGCTCCTGACAGGAGGGGACAGCTGCGGGGGTTGGGCTCTTCTTCCAAGTAATAAATGACAGGACAAGGGGAAATGGCTTCCAGTTCTGCCAGGGTATGCTCAGATTGGATACTGGGAAAATTTCTTCATGGAAAGGCCTGCCCAGGGCAGTGGTGGAGTCACAGAAGGGAGTTAAAGCTGTGTGGATGTGGCACCTGGGGACATGGTCCATGCCCGATCCACTCTGCACTCCAGCCTGCCTGAAATAACCTGCAAGGAGCCACTTATTTCAGGAGAGAAGAACCTAATTGGAGAGAAGGGATTTATCTCATGCCCTTGCTCCATCAGCCTGAAAAGCTCAGAGAGCCCCTTGTGCCAGCGTGGCCCTTCCTTCTGCCACGTGAACAGGAAGGAGAGGGGAGAACAGAGCGACCCAAAAATGTTAATTTTGCTCTTAAAAGCTGAGTGACAAAGGGATCCCCGAGGGCATCACCTGGGGACAGGAAAGCAGTCACCACCTCAGGGCTGCCACGGGGGAGGTGGCACAGGAGAGCTCAGCCAGCTCCCTGGGCTGGGCACACACAGGGCTTTGACAAGGAGCTCTGGAGAGCCCAGGCAACCTGGGAGGATCCACATCTGGAAGTGCTTTGCTCCTGGCACATCTGGAGCCGTGCTGAATGAATAAATGAATGTTTTCTGTGGCATGGAGAGGCTGCCCAGTGGAACACAGCGAGCTCTGTGTGAGCCAGGCCCTGGCTGCAGCTCCAGGGATCACCACAGCTGAAGGCATTTCTCAGAATTCAGTCTGGAGTGAAGCATTGATGTCATATATTACTCTCCAGGTTTGAAAAAAATGCTTTAGAATACATACTAGAAAAAATGTATCACCTTCCACTGTCCCAGGCTGCTCCAGCCCCACTGTCCAGCCTGGCCTTGGGCACTGCCAGGGATCCAGGGGCAGCCACAGCTGCTCTGGGCACCCTGTGCCAGGGCCTGCCCACCCTCCCAGCCAGGAATTCCTTCCCAATATCCCATCCTACCCTGAAAAAGCATTTCAGACTCTATTAGAACACAATGCATAAACTTAGTCTTAAATATAGCAGACAATGTTGATGCTGCCTTTGCATCAACACACTTCAAGCCATTAAAATTAAAAGCACTGTATTTAATGAAGAAACCACACCCCCAGGATTTTGCTTCCTGGACTACTGGCAGAGGAATAACACCAACAAATACAATAATTTTGTCCAATAATTCACAATGTCTGAAGTCCTATTAGCAGTAAGAACTTTTGAGATGACAAATTGCAATTATGACAGAAGCTGAGGAAAATAAGGACTAGGTCATGCAGGGAATGTTCCAGGCAGATTTTTTTGGAATTGCAAAAGCTGAAGAAAACCTTCTCTATGGCAGTCCTAGTCCTCATTCCCAGAAAACCGAATGGAAATTGCACTAGAGACAAACTCGGGCTCTTAGTAGTAAACAAAACCAGAACAAACTCTGGTTCTGTGTTAATGAACAAAACCAAAGCAGAAAGTCAATCCAGCACCCTGGTCACTGGGAATTCCAGACTTTCTGTGCTGCCAGGCTCTGACCCCCAAGAGAACTCTGCATTGACCTGAGGCCATGGAGAAGCTTCCAAAATGGAATGATGGAACTGGGATTGTGGGGGTGGAGTTTGAATAGAAGTGTGTGATATTACAGGGTGGAAAACTCAGAGTTTAAGGGTTAGAATATAGTAATAGATATAAAGCAAGATGGAGGTTTTAGGGCAGAGGCTGCTCCTTCTTCACCTTCTTCTCCATGGGTTTGGGTGGTTTTTTGTAATTGGATAAAAAGTCCCCATTGCAGGCACGGGTGGTTGGCTATTGGGTTAAAAGTAGAAATAATTTAGGTGTCATTTCTTAATTGGACAGTTTATCCTTAAAAGCCTTGTAGAGAGATATACAGCTTCATTTTTAGTGTGTTAGAGTGAAGTGCTACAGAACCTAGGGTTTCTGAGACTGTGACATGGATAAGAACTAATAAACATCTGAGTCCCAACAAGAAATATCTCACACATTTAATCCCAACCCTGGCAAAAAAAATCCAAAAAACAAAAAACAAGACTCCAGCCTGAGACACTGCCATGGAGTGAGGAAAGCTCCCAGACAGGCTGGACTCCTGCACCTGAGCAGTGCCAGGGGTGCAGCCCTGCAGATCCCCTGAGCTGGGACTGGTGCCCACACCCAGCTCTGCCCTGAGCCCTGTGCTCCCCAAACCCTTCACTCTGCACCAGCTCTGCCTTTGGGTGAGTGGAGCTTGCCAGGGGCTCGAGTTAAGCCCCTGCTGAGCAGCAAAGCTGCTCTAAAGCCTCTGGATGAGCCAGGCCTGGATTCAACAGCAGCTCAAATCCTTAGCACAGCTCCTCTGGGTGTGAGTAAAACTGGCCCCAAAGCTGCTCTCAGATTTGGGGGACCCCACTCCTCTGACCCCCAGCAAGAGTCCCCACTTCTTCACCACATTATCCTGGCAGTGCAAAAGGTGCTCCTAACAAAACTCTGCTTTTAAACCAGCCATAATATTGGTAATTTAATCCTATTCCACCAGACATCTTCATGCCCACAATATTCTGAGAGAGAGTGTTGTAAAATCATGTTTGACAACTCATTTCATCCAACTGAGCTGGATGGAGATGCCCAGGAATAAATAGATATTTGTTTTCCAATCCTTCAGTGGCCTTTTCCAAGCAGCTGATTAATAGCTTGGAAAGAGCACTCACTGAAATCCTGGAGGCAGAAAAGAGCTTTGGGCTGCAATCCCTTCAGCTCATGGGGGTAACTAATGGCACATGTGCAGACAAATAACTCCATAAAATCCAGGGCTGTGTTTAGCTGGGTGAACTTCCAAGGGCTGCAGCTGAGCTGAGTCTAGAGCTCCAGACTGAGCAGGAACAAACCCACGTGCAGCATCCCTGCTCTTCATGCCATGGGTCAGCTCAGTGGAGGGGTGCAGAACCAGCCTGGGCACCTTTCAAAGCACAGCACAAAACACCCCTGAACAGAGCCAAGGTTCCTAAGTGCAGGACCAAGTCCTCCTGCTCTTTTAATCAGTGAGGAAAGTAACCCCTTACCTTCTGGTGTGGGAAGGTGGACTGGATCATGGCAGTCTCAAAGCTGTGCGTGCCCTCGAGCTGAGTCTTCTCCCACAGGGCCTTCAGGACTTGCACAGAGCTGCTTTGTATGGACAAAGGTTCTGCCAACAGGCTCTGAAGAAAACGTTGAGAATGATTTCAGGTGTTTTTTCACTCAGCTGTTACTAAAAAGCATCTTGTGCTCACAGTGGGACAGACAGGAGAACAGCCAGGGGTGAGCCCAGCTCTGCCCAGGGAGTTCTGATGGATCAGTGGGCTCACAGCTGGATACAACATCAAACATCTCATTTCCTCTGGGTTTCTGAAGTTTATTGCACATCTCTGAGATCTGAGGATTGCCCTTCAAGGGCCACTACACGACCTGGTTCTGTATTGAAATGTGAATTTCTCACCAGTCAGCAGCACTGGCCTCTGTGAACCACACACAGACCTGGGGGAGCTGCATCCCCCTGGGAAAACCTGGCATTTCCAGCCAGAGGGAGAGGTGCCTCATGCCCCTGCAGGGCTGTGTGAGCTTGTTTGGAGCTCCTCCAGGTCTCAGTCCTCGAGCAGCACTGGGCAGAGGGCAGGATGAAGCTCAGGAGGGAGAACTGCACAGGACATTCTCAGCACGGAGTGCAGGAGCTTTCAGCTCCTGAACAGGACAGGATGTCACCTTGCTGGGTGGGTGCTGTCCCCTCCAGAGCTCCCTGAGCCAAAGGCTCCACGCTCCCAGCACTGTGGGTGACCCTGGCATTCCAACAGCCCGAGCTCTTTGTGGCACCACTGCTCACACAGCAGCACTGTGGCTGAGAACATTTGTGCCTCTCCTCCATCTCCTCCGTGATCTTTTAATTAAAGAATGCATTTACACACCAGAGCCAAGATAAGAGTGCACAACAAATCTGATTTTCCATACTGCAAATATTTGATTTCACAATATGGGCAATGTCCTTCAAATGTGGGATTCCTGGATGGACTTTCTGTCTCCTCTGTCTGAGCAAACCCATCCAGCCTAATCCTGCTGTCCTGCACTAATAATTTCCCAATTTCTATCCAAGAGTTTGGAAACACAGTAGAACTCTCCATTATTATTTTTTAAATTAACTGACCAATGTTCTTGAAAAGTATTTATTTCTAGGAAAACACACAGGGCAGAGCAATTCAGGCTGTTCCATCCACAGCATCCCTCACTGTGTGAATTTTGGATAATCCTGGCTGTTCCCAAGGCTGCCTTAGGATGGGATGAACTGCAGTGAAAGGCTCTGTGTGTGATAAGAAACTGAACATTGTATTTCAGCTCAAACCCCACTGTTGCATCTTGAAGTGTGAATGGAGGCTTCTCTCTTAGTTTCACACTATTTGTAACCTGTTAGGAAATTCCACACATGTGCAAGTGCTGGACTGTTCTTGGAAGCAATATTAAACACAGGAAAATCATTTGAGGGGTGGTAGAACAGCACTGGGCTGATTTACAAATTCTGCTCAGTCCAAACTTCTGCAGTGAAACCCCAGTGGGTTCTGCCCCTCCAACCTCCTCCTGCAGCCTTGGGGTTGGTGCTGCTCCCCTAAAACCCACTGCCAGCTCCTGGCTGCTTCCAGGCACCTGGAAGTTTTGCCTGAATAAGAACAATATGCTTTAGTCCCACTTTTTTATCCCCAGACTTTGTAATCTCCCCAGCCAGTTTGAATCTGGGCTATTTAACAGAAATATAAAAACTTATAAAACACAAAATAACTTCAGCCCAGTGGAACAAGTTCCTGAGGGACCACAAGGGTCACAAATGGCTGTGAGCTAGAGGTGCATTTAATGAGTTTAACCACGAAACATTCCTGTCCAAGTGGCCCAGGAGAGCCCAGAGGGGCCCTGGTTGGTGTGGTCCTCACCTGCTGGAACAGGAACATGATGTGGATCCAGAGGGGAGGCTGCTGGCTCACCAGGGTGAAGCTGGATTTGCTGTACAGGCAGTAGTGGCCCTTCAGGGGACAGCTGAAGAACAGCTTTGCCACACAGCTTTGGACAGTATCTGCAAAGGCAAACGTGGGATGTAAAGATCAGCTACAAAGCAGAGAGGAAACAGTGCCCGTGCTGGGGTGCCAGAGCCACGTGGGAAAACATTCCCCTCAGGATTTGGGGCACTCCTGCAGCCAGCAGGGCACTGATGTGTCTGCACCCTTAAGGAAGGAGAGAAATTCAGTGTTCAGTGCTTCAGATCTTACCCAGTAACCCTTTACTGCCAAATGCAGGAGGGGCAGCAGAGCCCAGCCAGGCTGTTCACAGTCCTTGTGCTTTCTGGTGTGTTTGGGATACCAAACCAGCAGGCCCATCCAAACTGTGTGTCCCTTATCCTATGTAAAAAGTTTGTTGGAAAACCCCTGCCCTAGCAGACCCCAGCCAGGTGGGGCTGACACTTTTGGATCCCTGTTGAGGTGATGGCTTGAACTGGAAATGGAGCCCTTGAGATGCACAATTCTGCTTTTGCTAAATACTATAGATCATGGAATGGTTTGGGTTGAAGGGACCTTAAATCCCACCCAGTGCCACCCCTGCCATGGAGGGACACCTCCCACTGTCCCAGGTGCTCCCAGCCCCAGTGTCCAACCTGCCAGGGATGCAGGGGCAGCCCCAGCTGCTCTGGCAATTCCAGCCCAGCCAGGAATTCCCAATATCCCATCCATCCCTGCCCTCTGTCCATGTGAAGCCATTTCCTCAGCAAACCCAAACAGCTTTGTCAGAGGATGATAAAATGGTTTCCCCTTGCCAGCTTCTGGAGGTTTGCTCCCAGCCTCACAGCCACCTGGCCTCTCTGCAGCATTTCTGGCAGGTTCCAACATCCCACTTTTAGATTTTCTGCATTTTCAGTGACAACCTGGCCACTGACACTTTGTTCTAGCAAAGCATCCTTTTGTACCTCTGGTAAACTCATTCCTCACATATCACACCTTCACACAAAATACTGAAATTATTACATTTTCCTCCTGTGCATTCACATCTTGATTACATGGAAAGTGTCAAACCAAGCATTTCGAGCCTGTCTGTTGTGGACACACAGGCTGCCTCTGCTCTCAGCCTCTCCTTGTCAGGAGATCCAGAAACCATCTCTGCTTACTCACGTTTTCTCCAAAGTCACAACTCACTTTTCCAGTCAGGAGATTTTCTTTGAGCCTTTTCTTCCTTCCCCCTTCTCCCCACGGTGACTCACCAGGACAGCAAGAGACTGAGTCACATCCCTGCATGGCTGGGCCATGAGCAACACACCCCAGCAGGGAAAAACGGGGCATAAATCCACTTCTCTTGGATTATGGCATAAAATGCACACACTTGGATTTCTGGCTATGGAGAAAACTTGAGTTTCACTACCCAAACCTGCCAGTTCTCATCCAAACCTGCCAGTGCTCGTGTTCACTGTAACAGAGGAGTTTGGGAAGCCAAAGGGGTTAATTAGAGCCATCCTGGATCCTGGGGCACATGAAAGCACACAATGACATTTCCAAGGAGGCTGCTGACAGATGCTCCTCCAAACTGCAGACCCCTCACAGATGCTGAAATAACCTTCACTCATGCACTCAAGCAGAAATCAGGCTTGGCCTGGGGCCATGTGTGTGAAAAGTTGATGTTTCAAGATGGGAAATGAGTCTTAGCTAAAAATGACCCCAAAGCACGGTGAAGAGGAGCAGGCAGCTTGTCCTTCCTCTTCCCTGGAGCACAGCCATGACTCTCCCAGTTACAAACACACGGACTGGCAAAAAACCTGGGAGCAGAAGGGGCAGGGCTGCAGCCCCTGGGGAGAAAAGGCACCCAGGTGGGATCTGTTTGGTGGGCTGGGAAGGACATTCCCGAATGCTGCAGGTAAAAATGGCAAAGGATCTGTGGAGAAGCTCCTGAGAAAGTGCTTAGCAAGGCTTTGTGGTGACACTGAGGAGCACACGGAGGCTGAGGACACGTGCCAAAATCAACGGCAGCTCCAGAGCAGGGCCCTGGCTGGCTGAGCACGAAGTTCCTGGAAAACTGCAGCACTCATTTGTCACTACCACTGCAGAAAGCTCCTTCCCAGACGATCTGCCAGGCTCTGGAATGAGCTGAGCAGCTCCTCAGGGCTGCTCTGCTCTGTTTGATGTGCTGGGTTTGGCACTGGCTGAGCAGCAGCCCACGTTTGCTACGTGCAGCTTTCAGCAGCTCCTGATGAACCACCAGGATCCACCTCTGACAGGGAATATCAGTTATTCCAATTCAGCAGAACCATGGAATCATGGAGTGCCTTGGGTTGGAAGGGACTTTAAATATCATCTCATTTCAGCCCCTGCCATGGCAGGGACACCTCCCACTGTCCCAGGTACTCCAAGCCCTGTCCAGCCTGGCCTTGGGCACTGCCAGGGATCCAGGGGCAGCCACAGCTGCTCTGGGAATTGCATCCCAGCCACTTCCAGCCAGGAATTCCTTCCCAACATCCCATCCACCCTGCCCTCTGGCAGTTTAAGACCATTTTCTCCTATCCTTTCATTACCTGCCAGGTTCTCCTCCTTCCTCAGCCTTGGCAGGAGAGTCCAAGTACCACAAGAAAAGGATTTTGAAACACGAGAACATGTGAAGAGCACCACAAGACACAAACCCACCCACAGAGTCACCAAATGCCCCAGAAGGCTGATCAAGACCCCAAGGAACCATTCCTGAGCCAAGGAACATTTCTCAGCCCAGCTCTTGGCGTGGCTCTGCCTTCCAGCCAGGGAATAAGCAACAACTCCTTTCTCCTACAGGAAACAAGGGAATATATGTTGCAATTTTAAAGTTCACAACTGAGTGGTTGTGCCTGGGGAAAAGGAACAAAATACAACCAGAAGAATGTCAGCAGAACTGTTAATTGTTACCTATTGCAGCTTCACATGCTGGGCTGAACCAGGAGGGTACAGAGTCACTGGCTCTGGGAACAATTAATGTGTTATTTGATTTACATTGGTGATCCTTTACTATTAAATGAAATCTGTTAATAGGAGCAAAAGTATGCTCATAAATTTCCTGAATAGAATCAAACCCATGCATAAACATGGAACCAATAAGAAAGGGATGCAACTTTTTAAATTTTGGGTTTAAGCTTTTTCAGCTTCCTCAGTTTCCTTTGCCTGACCTCTTCAGTTTGGGTTACAAAAAGTATGCAAACAATAAATACATTTATAGGAGGAGAGGGCAATTTTTAAAGCAAGCAGCTTCAATAAATGCTGCTTTATATTGTTCTTAACACCACTAACTTTGTGTGCAGGGCATAATTCAGTGCAAGGTGTGAGTTACACCAACACCAGCAGAGAAGGCAGGGCTGTAACAGGGGTGGACACCAACAACGAGGCACTCAGCACAGACTCCACATCCAAGGGGCAAATCCAGGAGCTCAGAAGCCATAAAATCATCCCAGAATCACAGACTGGGTTGGAAGGGCCTTAAAGCTCATGCTGTTCTACTCCCCCTTCCTTCCCCTACTCCTAGAGGTTGCTCCAAGTAAGTCCTCTGGTTGATGCCACCACCCCCAGGAGTGTCCCAGCTGCCAGGTGAAGCTCACCTGGAGAGCAGCCTGCTCCCAGGGCAGGTGTGAGGCCCCCAGGATGTGCCACACGTGTGTGAGGGCAGCCAGGGGACAGCTGGGCACATTCCCAACACTGCCTGTGGCACTGGGAATTTCTCCTTGATCTGACAACGTGGATCACCAGGAGCACGACGGCCATCCTGAGCAGTGGAACTGCCCTCCTGAGTGCTGGCACTGCCCTCCTGAGCATGACACTGATCCTGAGCGGTGGCACTGCCCTCCTGAGTGCTGGCACTGTCATCCTGCATGCTGGCACTGCCCTCCTGAGTGCTGGCACTGCCATCCTGAGCAGTGGCACTGTCATCCTGAGTGCTGGCACTGCCCTCCTGAGTGCTGGCACTGCCCTCCTGAGTGCTGGCACTGCCCTTCTGAGCAGTGGCACTGCCCTCTTGAGTGCTGGCACTGCCCTTCTGAGCGGTGGCACTGCCCTCCTGAGCAGTGGCACTGTCATCCTGCGTGCTGGCACTGCCATCCCCAGCGGTGGCACCACCATCCCCAGCAGTGGCACTGCCATCCCCAGCGGTGGCACCGCCATCCCCAGCAGTGGCACTGCCATGGCCCTGCCTCCCTGAGCCCTGGGGTGTCTGGAATGCCAGCCCTGGCGGATGGAATGCCAGCTCATGTTTGCAGAGCATTGCTGCTCCCTGGGAACGCTCTGCCGAGCCTGCCCAGCTCTGCGATCCCCCTGCAGGACCCGAGGCCCATCTGTTCCCAATCAGGGGCTGGCTGATGGAATGCTGGAATCCGTCAGGCCGGAGCAGGGGTGAGCACTGCAGGGGAGCAATGAGCTGTTCCATCCACGCCGTCATCTGGTCCCCATTACCCCTCAGTACCACATAAAACATAATAACAACCACATTGGGGGCCAGCACGCTGCAACCTGCTCCCCCTGCCGCCTCCTCCTCTGCCAGGAGTCCCAGGGAATGCTCCCTGGATGGATTTCCTCCTGCATGGCACCAGCAGCCAGGAGGGACTGCTGGAAAATGGTTCCAATGTTTTTCCTTGGGTGTCGCTGGACTGGCCTCAGTGAGCGAGGGGGAAATGATTCCGTGGTCTCCCAGGGCTCTGTCCTTTCAAAAGGAGGCTGGAGATGGCAAATCCTCCAGCATCCTTGACACACAGATATCATCAGATGCTTTTCTTCCAGCAGCTCACTCCACGTTCAAAGCTCTGGGCATTAATAGTAGCTTTTTTACCCAAATTACCTAAAAATCGAGCAGAACCAGAGCAGAGCACAAGGGCCTGTCCTTGTTATAACCAAATCCAGCAGCTGTGCAGGCTCCTGTCTGGGAATGGCTGCACCCAGCCCCTCCCAAGGGCAGGATACACAGGGCCATGCTCTGAGGCACCGTCCTGGCAGTGGGGGGAAACAAGGAGAGCAGGTCAGAAATCCTGATCAGAAATCACCACCAGAGAATACAGCATCCCAACCCATCCCCAAAAAAATATGGGCTGAGGAAAATGCTGCTGAGCTCTGTGAAAACTGAAGAGCCTGACAAATATGGTGGCTTGTTGTTTTTCTCTTCTTTCAAGGAAAAGATCTCCAGGATTAAGAGGCTTTATGTGATGAACATGACATAAAAAAATGCCTCAAATTGCATCAGGTATGTCAGAGATGTGGGTCAGGGCACAAGGCTTCAAGCTAAGCAGGAACTGAACCAATAAATGGATTTTTATAGGTTTGGGCTCCTTCTTTCTTCCCCAGCTCAAATCCCCTCCCTGACTGCAGTGGTATTCCAAAAAAAATCCCCTTATGCATGTGAGTCTGGTGTTGCAGCTTGTCTGGGTGAAACACCCCCAGCTTAGCCCTTTTCTTTAGGATAAAACCTTCTGGCCAACAGCCCAGTGCTAGCACTGCTCCTGCTGTAGGATCATCACCCAATTCACAGCTCTCCCCTGCCCAAGGCACAGCCAGCCAAAAATAGTAAATATTAAACAACAGGGCTGACATGGCAATTTTTCAAGGTCTGTATGAGGCATCCTCAAACTGTCACAGACAGTTCATGGATCCACCCTGACACTTCTTAACCTGCAGCCCTTCCCAGCTGTAAAATCTGACACTCCAGTTAATATTGCATCCATTTGGACATGGAATATAAATTGAATGAGCTTAGAAGTCAACAAGGAGCCTGCAAATCACACCCTGTAAAGCAAAAATACTCCGTGAGGGGTAAGACCTACACAGCAAACATCTGACTCAAGAGCAAAAAAGCCAATTTGCAAATCACAGACAATTTAGCAGAGCAGAAGTGCCTATTTTGTGTGTTTTAAACTTGCCTCTGACAACTTCATGGCATGTTCTCCAGCACCTGGATCGGGGCAGACACTCAGTTAATCCTCCCAGTCACTGGTGATATTGCAAATCTCTTTTCCAGGCTGCAGAGGCCATTTATCTCCACATGGAGCTCTCTGATTTTCCTCACACTCTTGCAGCCATTCTCATCCTTTATCCTCCAAATTGAGGCTCTAATTAATGCAGGCAGTCCCAGAATGGTTTGGGTTGGAAGGGACCTTAGAGCCCCTCCAGCTCCTGGGCAGGGACACCTTCCCCTGTGTCGTCAGTGCCCAGATCCAAGGGGTCCTGCAGGAAAACTGGGATATTCCCAAGGTTCTGCCCTCAGCAGCACACCCCCTTCTGGAGGAGCCCCCAGTCTGGGGTTAAGAATGAGGAATTCCCCCCAGTTCCAGACAGGCTGCCCCAGGTCAGACACCAGCAGCAGCAGAAATGCCAGCAGGGGTGGAACTCTGGTCAAGAGAGCAGAATTTGGCCATCACCCCTTGGAAATTCTTCTAAATTCTTCTTTATTAACACCCTGCTGACCCCCCAGAGCTGCCACTTGAAATCCCAGGAAAGACCTGAGCAGGGAAAGGAAAGCTTGGGGAATGTGCACTCTTGCAACACATTTTTTTCCTTCAAATACTCTGTCTCATGAGGGGCTGCTCTGGGGTTCTTATCTTTTCATATCTTCCATGTCTTACACATTAAATTTCCAGTTCAGACTCCCACACAGCCAACATAAAATCAGCCCACTATATTTATTAATGTTTTCTAATCTTGTTTTTTTTTCTGCTAAACACGTTGGTGAAATGTAAAACACGCCTTTGAGTGGGCCCTGTTAGAGTTTGGGGATCTCTGAAGTGCAATAACTGCAGGGTTTTGGAGAGCTTTGTGCAATATCTGGAATATTAACAGAGCTGTCCCTTGTGGAATGAGCAGGGCTGCATTTCTTCAACAGATTCAGAACGAGTCCCATAAATCTCTGCTCTGCACATGTGTCCCTGCCCAAGGAACTTCCCTAGGAATGCTAGTTGAGGATTTTCAGGAAATTACAATAGTTTGAGTGAATTTAGAAATAGTCAGATGCCTAGGATGTATCATAAGAGGTATTGCAGAAAGGAAACTGAGCAATACATTAAAAAATATTCAATATATGGGATTTCATTAATGTGGGGTCAGAGCACTCAGCACTTCAAAAACCACATTGTTCACTCTCATGTTTTCACTGGAATTTTGTGCAACACAAGTTTTATCCTTAATTCTACCAAATAACTATTTCAACTACTAAACCTGGAATTTAAGGTATTTAGGAAATTCTTCAGAAGCATAAGCTTATAAAATACATATAGAGAAAGAATTATATCCCTTTTATGAGTGGAAACTGCTTTTCCACTTCTTGACCACTGAGAAAGGAAAGAAATAAATCTTTTATCAACTTCAGTTGATGCTTGTTGGAGCTGAAGTGATGCTGTATTAGAAGGTGATGTCTGAAGTGACTGGAAATTTAATTTATTAAAGAAAATTAAATTGATTGAGGTAGCTGCTCTTTGGGATCAACCTGGCCCATGGAAGGGTTGGGCTGTGAACAGCTCATGGCCACCAGTGAGGAGCTGGATGCACCCAAATTCACCTCAAAGGGAATAAAGCAGGACCAACCCAACCCAACCCAACCCAGCCCAACCCAGCCCAAAGCATTCACTTCAAAGAGGAGCAGATCACAGACCCACCAGGGATGAAAGCAGCAAACATCAGAGCACCCCAGGGATTGGTGAGATGGAATCCAACCCAAGCCAGCCCATGGGGATCTCACCCCGCTGTGCCCTCAGGGAGTTTTGTGGTTGGAGGGTCCTGCCTTGAGGGTCCTGACCTTTGTTGTCCCAATCCAGCTGATTTAATAACTTGGCAATGAGGAAGGAGCCCCAGACCTGCCCCAAGCCAGCCCAGCAGGAGCCCCACGGACCAGCACGGGGCCCATGGCATGTGGAATCTCCAGCACACATCCATCCCTGGTGTCCTAGGATGTCCCTGATGTCCACAGCTCCAGCCTGGAGCTGGGAATGTCCCTTCCTGCCCTGCCTTGTGCCCAGAGGCTCTGCCACCCTCAGGGTTCACTCCCCATGACATCCAGAAGGAAATGTTCATCTGAGCCCATGTGGGAGTGTGGGAGAGGCATGGGATGGGATGTGTCCCTGAAGGAAATGAATCCTGGAAGGTTTCCAAAGATTCCATTTGGGAAATGTTGTTTCCTACAGCTGATGATCCTCCCTGCCTGTGCTGGGGGTCTTTGCTCCCCTTTGGGCCCTCAGGGGGGTCTGGGTGGGTGTAGAAGTCCTTGGGAGGTTCATCCCTTACCTTCAATCACACACTGCTCAGGGATGGGAATCCTCCTCCCCATCTCCATCACATATTCCTTGACTTTGCCCAGGTTCTCCTTCAGGTGCAGGTATAGCTTGTCCTGGTGCTCCACAGGGCCCGTGGCTGCCTCTGCCCTTCCCTCCACAGCCTTCTCCGGGCTCACCTCTGGCAGACTGCCTGCCTGGGGGGGATCAGCACTCTGGTGTGAAACCAGGCAGGTCCCCACGAGCCCTGCTTCGGGCTGCACCCCAAAAGGCACCTGCTGCTGCTCCTGGCTGAGGCAGAGCTCGGAGAAGGAGATGCCAGCAGGGATGTCCCCACTGTCCTCGTCCGGCCCTCCCTCCGAGCTCAGCCCCCTCACCCGGAGCGTGTGCAGGGCCAGGCTCTTGGATCTGCAGGGAGGAAAGGAAAAAGGGTTTGGAACAGAGCAGAGCACAAAAATCCCCCCAGAATGTGCCCTGTGCAGCTCCCTCAGAGAGCCCAGTGTGGTCCCTTCCAACCCAAACCATTCTGGGGTTCTGGGATTTAGAAAGATTTCATCCAGCCCTTAAGTCCATGGATGCAAAAATGGGTTAAATTTAGGTTTATGCTGCCTGTGGGTATTCCACGAGCAGCTCAAACCCTCCATGTTTGGATAAAGTTTTATGACAAAACTGATCTCCCTGAACCCCTCACACATTTTCCAGAGCCATACCTGTTAAACCTCATATCCTTCCTTTCTTCTTTAGAAACCTGGCCCAGGCTGTATCTCCTCACTGAGCCGGGGGTGCTGTTGTCCACATTTATTTTCTCTTCAAAAGCCTGGATTTTAACTTGCAGCTTTTCATCTTCTTCACTGCCGTTCATGACAGATTTTAAATCATCCAGTGGTGCAGGACATTCTGCCTCAGGGTCCTTTTCCATCCTGAGGAAGCAGAAAGCAGAGGTTTAACTCTGGCACACTCTGTTCGTTGTGCTGATGCTGTGTCTGTGCCTGGGACTTGTGGTTTGGATCTGGTAAAACAATTATGTTTAAACAGAGATTCCCTGAGGTTATTTTCAGCAACATATTCTAGATCAACATCTCTGATGGATCAGAAGCATTGAACATCTCTGACAACCCTGGGATGGAAACTGCCAAGCACCAGCAAATCACAACTCTGTCCCTGATAGTCAAAAGTTTTTCATCTGAACTCAAACCATTCTCTCAAAATTGCTAAACACTGACTTATTGCATTATTTTAACAAGGCAAAAGTCAAGCTATTTGCAGACTTTATAGAAATCTGTGGTTTTAAAGCTTTGACCAAAGTACATGCAGTTCTTACTGAATTACTGCCCTCTGAGAAAGAAAAATACCTTTTAAAACTTGGAAAAAGTTATGAGCAATGTGACTCCAGCTCAGCAAAGAGAAAATGAAGAGTTAAAATGAACTTGTAGTACTGCAGGGCAAGTAGCTCTGTTTTGGATTATTATTGTCGTAAAATCACAGAATCAGAGAATCATGGAATGGTTTGGGTTGGAGGGACCTTAAAGCCCGTCCAGTGCCACCTTCCACTGTACCAGGCTGCTCCAGCCCCATCCAGCCTGGCCTTGGGCACTGCCAGGGATGGGCAGCCACAATATGGAACATTTTAAAGCAAAAATTCAAAGGTAACTTTCCAATAAATTGAAGGGAAGCTGTTGATCTTACAGGACAAAAAGAAATCTGCTGGGAAAGACACTGTTGGTAAAAATGTGCTGGGTTCCCTCAAACAGCTTTGAAAATGGCTTTTTCTGGGTTCCTTCATCGCTCAGAGCCTGCACAGAGACTCAGCTCCTCTGAATATTTTGCCATGTGCTGGAAATCTGAATTTTGAGTATCCTTACTCTGCCTTGGAGATGCTGCAGCAGCAGCAGGACTGGACTTCTCAGGGACAGCAGCAAGAGCATCACTGCTCCTTCCCCTCTCCCTGCCCTGCTGGGATGGTGTGCACGTTCCCATCTCACTCCTGCAAGCAGGCAGGAACTGGCACCAAAAATCATGGAGCAGCACAGAGCAAACAGGAATCTCTTGGAGAATCAAGGGGGATTGGACAGTATTTACTTTTTAAACTCCACTCACAGCTCTAAAACAAGTTTGTTATGCTTCTGACTATTTCTTTGTTTGATTTTCTTTTTTCCCTCCTGATGAACAAACATCTGAATAGTTAAATCTGTAAAACATGGATATATAAAACCACAAACCAGGGGTTTAACACAGCCCTTCCAAAGCAGCAGAGTCTCACAAGTCACACTCACAGTGGGGGAGCCCATTAAAAACTCCCCAAACTGCAAATTACCAATTGTAAAAAGCCAGGTTTTTAAAAAACAACCAGAAATGTGGCATCACAAAATGCACTTTTTCACTTGTTTTGATAAAGGCAGCTCAGGATATTTCTCAGGGGAGCTGGCAAGTTTTGTCTTGCTTTGTTTTTAATTCAAGCAAGATCTCATAATATATTAACACTGAGGAGCACTTGAAAAATATTCTTCTGTAATAAAGACCCTTGATGTGACCTTTCCTAACAAATCTTTCTGGGGATGTAGGACAAGATTTAATTTATTGGAAAGCAGTCATTCCACCACAGCTCCCAACACTGCTCCCATTGTGGGAGGTGAGCTCTAAGGAAAACTCCTGTTCCCTGTGTAAATATGGGCAAAGCCTGGGGGCACAGAGAGGGGATTGATGGACTGATGGGCCTTGGGAGTGACAGACCCCAACCAGGGAGCCTTGGTGATGTTTGGGATTAAAAATGGTGTTTCAAACAGCACCTCTTTGTCCAGCCTTCTCCTGCTGAGCTCCCGTGGCTTTGTGAAGGGAATGCAAGAAGTACTTCTCCTAAAGAACCACAAAACTGTTATGGCTGGAAAAGAACCGTGGATGAACCCTATTTTCTGTATGTAGAGCAGAAAAAAAACCACTCCTGGGGTGTGGAGGGTGGGCTCCTCAAGCCACCATCCCATTTTTGCCCCTGCTGGTGCCAGGATTCCCAAGCAGGAAGCAGAGGGTCTCAGAGTGCCCAGGAGCTCTCCTGTGCACCAGCCCTGTGCCCACATCAGTTCCTTGGGAAGCCAAAAGCACAAAACCCCACAAAACCCTCGCTGAGGGCTCCATCCCAGCCCACTGGGACCTCTGGCAGCCCTTCCTGCTGGGCTCCCCTTCCAGCTCCTCTCACACCAACCATTGTCTGCAGTCTTGGCAAGAGGCACTGCTGAGGCTGCTGGAGCAGGATCAGCTTACACCAAAGCTGTTTGCAGGAGGAGGAGGAGGGTGCACGAGCTCACGGGGAAACCATCGTGCCAAAAACAGTGCCAGGCTGCTGATGGCTTCATGCTTCAAATCCTCTGGGCAAATGCACCTCAATGCCCAGGTGATGCATTAGCACAAAGGGCATTTCTCCAGACCAGCAGCACCATTACCACACCAGCAGTGGGGAGCTCACAGTGGGGAAAAGACCATCCCAAAGGGAGATTTATGAAAATACACCTGGGGTTGTGGCCAAGGCTTCACCTCTGTGAGCATGAAGGCTACAAGGATGGCTCAGGGTGTTTGTGGTTTGTCAGGGGAGAAAAATCACCTCCTCAAATAGGATGGACAAGAAAGTTTGAAGGCAAGTGATGGAGGAAAGATCATGGAACTGTCAGCAGAATCCCAGACTGGTTTGTCTTGGAGGGACCTTAAAGATAATCTCATTCCATCTCCTTCCACTGGGACCTTTCCACTGTCCCAGGCTGCTCCAAGCCCTGCCCAGCCTGGCCTTGGGCACTGCCAGGGATCGGGGCAGTCCCAGGTGCTCTGGGCACCCTGTGCCAGGGCCTGCCCACCCTATGAGTGAAGAGCTTCCTCATATTTAACCTAAATCTCTCCTGTCCCAGTGCCAAACAATTCCAAGCAGCCACAGCACTGGGAGGAGCAGCACTGGTGCAGCACCTTAAGCTCAGTTCTTATACAGAACCAGGACTTTGAAGCTTTCTTCCCCTTGAATTGACTACACTGCCCCTCTAGGTTGGCTAAGTCCATTAAAACCCTGCATATGTTCTTTAAAAGCCCCTCTGGGACTGAATAACTTGCAATTTTGGGACAGTAAGGAGCAGCAGGGCATGGCCTGGTTTTAATTATGCTCCCCAGTCCCTGCATGTAAAATTCCCTGGTCAAACTACGCTGGGCCAGCCATGGCTCTGAAGAAATCAGCTTCTCCTTATGTAAACACAGGAGTTTTGGAAGGAATGGTTACAATCCAGGCCCACAGTTTAAAATCCTGCTTTCCCTTCACAGCACAAACACTCTGGATTGCTGCTCTTCAGCTCAGTGACTGCAGCAGCTCCAGAGCTGGGAGGGCACTTCCACCTTCACATCTGGACTGGTCCCACTTCCCAAGCACGAGTCAAAACCAGTTCTGCTTAAATCAGCAGAGAGCTCTCATTCAGCCTTGTCTGATTTAGCTGATACTCTGCTTGATACAGGCCTGAAATGTAAAACCAAATAGCTAAAAACTGAAAAAACAGCATTTTGCTGTGATCTCTCACAGCCATGTTGAGATAATGAAGGCACAGAGGAGTGGGGGAGGGAATTAAATTTAAAATAAATAAATAAATAAATAAATAAAATCAAGGAGCAGAGAGAGAAAATCATCTGTAACCACACTCACACAGACAATAAAGCTTCTACTCTCCAGCCAGTCCTTAACAGAGAGAATTTTAGCTAGAAACAGCCAGATTTTGATGAAAACCTTGTTTTTAACTGGGCTTTCTTAGCAGCTCTAGAGATAAATGTTCAGCCCAGAATATAATAAGGAATATGAATATCACAGTATTTTAACAAACAAAGTAATTTTTCAACCATAAATGGAGGGACTATGATGGCTTGGGAATGCTGAGGGCTGCTTTCTGCTGAGGTTCTCCCACCAGGTGAGGCTTGGACATTTCTCACAGCCCTGTAGTCAGATCAGGGGCTCTATCTGGATTCCTCTCCTTTCTCATTTTTACCTCTCTCCAGGACACCAATTATTTGTTTCTCCACTGAGCTCAGTGTTTTGGCTCCACTGCTCCCAGTCTGGCTCCAGGGCTGGCCTTCACTCTCAGGAGTTTTCTGACACCTGTGTTCCATTTTTCCAAAGAATCGCTGCTCCTGTGTGCCCCCTTGACCTACTGCAGGATACACAAATCTAATTCTAAGACTCTTACTAATTAGAAGTGACTGCCATCCTCTATTTAAATAACATTCCCATCCTCACTGTGACAAACCCCACAACACTTCAACCTTAGGATGCACAGCCAGAAGCAGCTGAGGCAGCAGAACATCTCGCTGTGGATGCTTCAGAAATTCTTTTCAGACTTTTGTTTGGGCAAATCTTCATCAGGGAGCTACGCCAGCCATTGTTCTCATCACCCTCAGTGGGCATTTTCTAGAATAAACTCACTGATAATTGTGAGGCCTGACTTCACTGATTTATTTTTAACCAAGGCTTTTTTGGCTTGCTTAAATCTACTTATCTGGGGCATGGCTTTCTTCATGGCAATGGGATTATATTTAATGGGAATTTTGGTGCCTCACAGTGATGCCTAAAGAGGCTACCTAGAACAGAGGCTAGACAGAGTTAAAGGAATAAAGCAGGGATTTATTAAAAGGCCTTCAAAGGAACTTGGGCAGCACAAGAGCCTGGCCGTGGCTCTGCCCAGGATGGACCCAGCATGGACTCCAAGTCAGGAGTTCTCACCCTTTTATAAGTTTTGGTCCATTTCCACGTTGGGTTCCCTGTCCAATTCCAGCCCCAGGCTCTGCAGTCCCACCCTCCCAGGCTGCTCCCCTCCATTCCCTGCTGTTTGCACTGTTGGGCTGAAGCTGCAGCGGTGTCCTTGGTTCTGGGGCTGAAAATTGATTGCTCTGTGTGCCTGAGCTGTAAAGCTAACACTTTACACAGAGTTCAGAGTCACACACTGAGGCAGCACAGAATCTGGAAACCATGAAATCCAACCCTGAAGGCACGAGCAGGGCTGTGTCAGAGCAGCAGTACCTGGCGGGCGCCGCGCCGTCGGTGCCGAGCTGCCGCGCCAGCAGCTTGGCGATGGCAGAGAAGCTGTTGCTCATGCGATAAATGTCCCTGCTCTGGGTGCCCAGGATGCTCGAGAAGGTGTCGGTGAGGCTCTTGATCTCCAGCAGCAGGAGGTGGTGAAAGGAGTGCTCCATGTTGGCCAGCTGGTTCACCAGATACAGCAGGGAGGTTCTGGCTCGCTCCTGGGCAGCGTGGGGAGATAAGAACAGGGCTGAACACAGGAATTCTTTGTTTGCTGCTGTCAGGGGCTTTGTGTGCTGGGACTGAGTCACCGTCCCTGGGGAAGAGTGGCTGCCCCACCATGACACAGGCAGCTGCCTCAAACACAGTTTATTTGTGGTTTCACTGAAACGACTTTTGTTCCTCTTGGTGTTACCTAACCCAGCCTAACTCAGGACATCTTGTCTCCTCCTCAGACCTAGAGACAGATCCCTGAAGGCTCTTTAAGGGCCCTACATCCTTCTGGGTTGGTAGATCAGCCTGGCTGAGTGATAAGGGCCCCAGCAGCACCAAGCTCCCCTTTCACCTCTGATGAGTCTGGCTCAGCTACTTCATAAAACCAGACAATGGTTTGGAAGGGACCTTAGAGACCACCCAGTCCCACCCCTGCCATGGACAGGGACACATTCCACAGGTTGCTCCAAGCCCCATCAACACCTCCAGGAATGGGGAACCTCCAGCCTGGATCTGACCATCTCCAGTTTAGGGCTCCTCTGTTAGAGTTCTCCTAATTAGATTGGGTTCCACAGTCCTAAAAACACCCACGTGGGAAAAGCGGTGGAAAAACCAGCAATTAACTTAGGAACTCCCCTTGGATCCTTCACTGGGGGAATCCTTTTACTCAGGGAAGCCCACTTGGTCCTCAGCAGATTGATGGAGAAACTGGGAGATGTTTGGATTTCAGCCTGTGCTGAAACACAAACAAAGGCAAAAACCAAACAGCTTTCTTCTTCCCAAGGGCCAGCAGGGAGCTCATGTGCCACGCACGTGCTCTGGGCTCCGCAGGGTCCCAGCCCCATTTCCTCCTCTCTTCTGGGACCTCATAACCAGAGAGCAAAATCTGCTGAAAGGTTGATTCCAGACCCAGCTGGGCTATAAAAATACCCGGAGACTTTGGCAGGACATGGCCCTGCATCACGGGTGAGACTTTTTTGGAAGAGCAAACCAACGTAATTCAAGGAGAAGCAGCTCTGCTGCGTCGTGCCATGACAGAGATAAATGGGAAGAGTGGATCAGACAAATTGCACCCCTTCAGCCATATGGGGGAAAGCTCCAGCTACACCCTGGGCTGGGCTGATGTGACCAAGGTTTTTCCTCAATGGCTTGAACGAGGTTGACTTTTTGGTGCACAGTTACTCATTTATTTGAAAGCCGATCCTTCCTCCAAGAGATAAACAGAGGCTCAATTAACATTTAAAACACATTTTTGTTTTCTAAACAAACTGTGCAGCAGACTAAATGGAGGAGCAGTTTTGACCATTTTCCTGTCACTTTGATCCAGCTGGAGAGTCTCCAGCCATGCTGAAATGCTGCTACTCGCCTGGAGTGAGGTAAAAGAACAATAAACTCGCCTGAGTAATATAATATGTAACTGTTATACAAAACAAAATTACAGCAAAATAGCTCAACATGAAAGCAGCCCTTATCCCTGCCACAGTTCTTATCCAAAATGTTTCACAAACCCTATTTGGATGCACATAACCCCTTGTTATTTCAGCAATGCCTGTTTGATGTATTCATGTATTTTCTCGTAAGCAGCCCTTGCATTTTATGGCATTACATCTGCCAGAAGGTGAGGAGCTAAAGCACAAACAATGAGGTGTGTGGCAAACTGAGCTTTTTTCTTAAAAACAGGTTCAGGAGACTACAAAAAGATCACAAGGCTTTCAGAAATAACTCCAACTCCCAGGTGGTTCAAAACAGGGGAAAAAATAAAGTGTCCGATTGCCCTGAGCCCCAAGATGGTTTTTCATTTGCACAAGTTTATGGTTAAGGGACAAGTTCTGGCTTCAGCTTGCCCCCCGAGAGTGTCGCTGACACCAGCAGAAGTGGTGTGTGCAAACAAGGGGGCAACCTTTCAGTTCCAGAGCTCTCCTCTCTCCCAGGGTCTCTGGAAGCACAAGAGGCTTTTTCTAGGAGCCAGCAAGGATTTGCTGCTCAGATGCACAGTCTCGACCACTGAGGGCCAAGCCTCAATCCTTGCCACCTCTTTTCCCCAGGCAAACCTTCCAGTGAAATAAAACATCAACAAATAAAGTTCCAGCACTGCCATTGATGTCTCCTTGCCCGCTTGTTTTGCTTGGCCGGGCAGGGGACACTGATTCCTGTCTGAGAAGTGACAGAAAATCCACAGCACGGCTCGTGTCAGGACAGGGGAGAGGGGGACAAGGGGTGAGGGAGGGTTTGGGAGGGCCCTGACACAGGGGCTGTGAGATGAGACCATCAGAGGCACACATGGGTTGGTGGTTGGACTCAGTTGTCCTGGAGGTCTTTTCCAGCCTGGCAGATTCTATGATTCCATGAGCTCACCTCTGCTCGATCAGCCATGGAGGCATTTCCTTCTCCTCTTAGGCGAGGTGATTCTTTTTGTAAGACCAGCTTAGACAGAGTTTGGAGCAACCTGGGGTGGTGGAAATGTCCCTGCCCGTGGCAGGGGAATGACATGAGCTTCAAGATCCCTCCCAACCCAAACCACTCTGTCATTCCAAAAGCTTCCATAATTCACTTCCTAACTTTTTAGAGAGCAAAACAAGAGAGGAGCTGTTGCTCTCCTGGTGGAACATTCACCTCTGCCACCCTCTGTGTGTTGTCTTTATCCCTGTTTTTGAGTCTGGAGCACAGGGTCCCTGGATGTCAGTGACAAATACAGCAAACAAATGACAAATGTGTCCTCCCCACGGGCTGGGATGCTGCTGAGTCAGCAGCTTCCCAAAAAATCAGACTCATGGCATGGGACATGGTGAGAGCTTTCTCAACATTTATTCCAGGGAGACTGAACATTAATTATTCAGTCCAGGCTGTTTGTGCTCCACTCAGTAGATTGGTGTAGCCACATAAACCAACAGGTTAAAAATACAAGGGGAAAATATTCTTTGAATCATGTCTTTGTAAACTTTACTCTAGTGTGTAATTTCCAGCACTACATGGAATCCAACAGGGCCAGTTGGTTCCTCGCTTATTCTTGGTTTGGTATAAAACAATCACAGCAACAAAAGGCAAAATAAATAAATTCAGCCTCTTTGAAGTAGCAGAACTCAGCGGAAATGGAGCCTCAGAGACACCCAGATGGGGAGAGCTGGTTCAATACCCCAAAACACAGAATCCAAATGAAATCCTTCAGTTCTGAGCCCAGCTGGGCTCAGCTGAGGATTGGCTGGTTAGCAACCATAAACCTTCTAGAAAATGCTGACACTCAAATAGTAAACACAGAATTAAATGTGGTCACCTGCAGATCTTATAAAAGTAAAACTTGCTGGGGGATGGAAGTAAACAAGGAGAGAACAAAAAACTTCATTTGGCTCCCAGGCCTCAATGGGATTTTGGCTCCTCTTTCCATACAACAGAAATAAGATTTATGAAGCCAAACCAAATCTGGTTTTGATTCTTCTGAGATAAATTTAATTTTACATGAATATAAAGCTCCAGATCAGTAGAAACAGCGAGGATGGTGTCTTCCTGTGCTGCACAGACACACGAGGCCCAGCCAACACACACCCAAATTAATTGCCAAAGGGGGAAGGACTGGAATAAGATCATCTTTAAGGTCCCTCCCAACCCAAAGCATTCCATGATTCCATGGCAGGGCAGTCAGGTTACTAGGTAAGAAATATGTGGACACATTACTTTACACAAGAATAAAAGCAACCCCAACCCCAAACGCAAGCAAGTCCTCTTGTTTCCCACCCTACCTCATCGAGATGTCCAACAGCTCCGAAGATCTTTGCTGTCTGCCCAATCAAACTGGGAAAACTCTCTCCAATTTCCCTCAGCGTGGGAAGGAATGGGGCCAAGGCTGCAGGTTCGTAGCTGGATATTTCCAGAAGGATGTTTAGAATCACCTCGCTGTGGTTGGGGTCCCTCAGGTGTTCAAATAAAAATGGCAAACACTCTCTCAGCACCTGTTAAAAAAATCAGAAACAAATTGGATCTCTGTTTTGAATTGTGAACACATATAACCAGAGGAGATACAACCACCAGAGTGATAAAAATAAGCCACCAGACTCTGAGTTAATAGAAGTTTTCCACCCTTGGTGACCTTTGCATAGAGCTATCACTGAGGTCAATCCAAGTTCAACTGAACATATGGAGTAAGGGTAAGCTCTGCTTTAAAATATGGCAGTTATGCATAAATAAGTAAGGAAATGCCCATTTAAAAAAAAATACCAAAAACCACCTTTACTAAATATTTTCCCTGCTCCAGGCCAGTCTATATTTTATTGATTAAAACAACGCAAGACTCAGCCTTCCTCAATAATACAGTAAATTAAAGTACTTGTAGAAATTTTTCAGTTCCACCAGAAACTAAATGTGACAAGGTCAGGAGCTGGAATAGAGGGAAAAAACAGGGGGCAAGACCCTCACTGCATAAATGTGCTGTAGGTAAGCTGTCATTTCTTGTAACAACACAATTTTTGGGAGACTGAGGATGTAGTCCTTGGAGCCATCTGCCAAACAGGATGCAGTTGTGTACTGCGGGATTAATTCAGGGTACACAGGCACACTAATGCACCTTGGATTCAGGGAAACTGCTGCAGCTGTAGAAAAGACATGCAGACACAGGCATGGGTATAAAACAACCCCTTCTGTTCTTGTTTTGGGGGGGATTATCAGTACCCATCAGTTCCTAAATCATTTTAATTGTCCTTGACATGGATTTTAACGCAGTTCGTGTACACTGACAGAAACACAGCTAAGGGAATTCACACTCAGCTGACAGAGGAAGAGCCAAAAACACTGGAGACAAATGGTTTGACCCAGACCTTTTGGTCTAGCAGAGTCTTTGCCATGTTCTTATTGTGACTAGGTGGAGAACTTGGGATGGAATTAGAGAAGTGACAGGGAATCAGCACAGGAAGGCACTGCCCTGCATGGTGAGATTCCTCCCTCACCAAGCCTGTGAGACACAAACCCCCCAAAAGGAGGGGCAGGGAGATGTTTTACCCCCAGTTCTCTCTTCCTGGCCACGGTGTGCAGGAGCCTGAGGAGGTGGAGCTGCTCGGGCGGGTCCAGCTGGGCCATGGGTGCCACCAGCTCCCGCAGGCGGGCGTGGATCGGCCGCGGCTGCTTCTCGTAGAGCGCGGGCAGCACCCGCAGCAGCATGGAGTTCCCTGGGGACACAGCAGGGACAGCGTCTGAGGCTGAAACGTGTGGCTGGGGTGTGGATTCTACTGCCCTCTGTCACAGCTGGGGCACGTATCTGCTGTTCACTGGACTGGTTTCTTTCTCTCTCCCACAGCCAATCCTCCCTCCAGATCTCTTCTGTTCATGGACCATTAATTATGTCTGACTCTGGTTTGTTTTCTTTTTTTTACTTTTGTATTTTTAATTTCCCAAATAAAGAATTGTTATTCTTATTCCCATAGCTTTACCTCAGAGCCCCTTCATTTCAAAATGATAATAATTTGGACGGAGGGGGTTTACATTTTCCATTTCACAGAAGGCTCCTGCATTCCTTAGCAGACACCTGCCTTTTAAAACCCAGAGACAGGCAGGGACCAGCTGTCAGTCAGTGCCCAGCACTGGGCAGAGCCCCACAGCACCAGCACGCTCTGGAGAGAGCAGGTCAACAATCACAGAATTATTTGGGTTGGGGAGATGTTAAAGCTCATCTCCTTCCACCCTTCCCCTGGGCACCTTCCAGCAGGGTGCTCCAACCTGGATCATCAGTACAAAACCAGGGAGGCATAAAACTGTAGAAAATTATATATTGGGCCAAGAAACCAAATAAATTATCAAAAATAGAGCAAATCATTGCAGGCATAACAACACTATGTAAAAAAACCCCCACTAATTCATATTAATTATAATTTTATTTCTGAATGTCATAAGAATGCTGCTTAATGAGCTTTCAGTTTTGGATGATGCTCTGTTGAGTCCTAGGCCAAACTAAGTGTGATTTCAATTAACAAAGAAACAAGAGAAGAAAGAAGGAGAGAAATGACAAACAACAAAAGACAAACTACAATTCTCCTTTGCTGAGATTCAGATTTTCAAATTAAATAAGCATCATATGGAAGGAATAGTTGGTGAAGAGAGAGCTAAACATGTATTTGAACAGAAATAGTTAAGGATGCCATTTCCAGGAATAGAAAGGAGCCAGAGAGAGCCAACTGCAGACAGTCAGAGATATGCTAAACCCTCTCTCACACATTTTCTTAAGATGTCTGTGCATAATTCAATTTGAAGCCCAGGCTCATACCAAAATATATAACTTCACATCACAGTACATGCCTGCCTCAATGGATTTAAGTTTCACTTGAGCAACATATGGAAAACATCTGCCTATTGCAACCTAGTATGGCTCCTTTTTGTAAACCCTTGGAAGTCCTCACGGCCTCTTTGGATTTGGTTTCCAAGAGGAATCAGCTCTCTGGCCTGCTGCTTTTCCTCCCATTTTCATCTGAGCCGGATAACTTTGGAAGATAAGCAGATCTCTTCATGGATGGTAGGAAAAGGATATTTGGGTTCAGACTGGAGCACGTGGGGCTCTTGCCAGATACAGAAAATGCACCCCAGGACACGGCTGGGTCTCACAACCTCCCCCTGAGCCAAGAAGTGAGCACATAACTCAGGGCAGGTTCAGACAGCTCTGAGCCCAACAGCTTGTAATGATCCCTGAGGGTCCCCCTGAGTGGTTCTCCACTCCAGCCAGCCACACTTCTGCACCTTGTCGTGCTTGGAGAATCCCTGGCTGCTTCCTGGAGGCTGCTCCGAGCCCCCCATGCAGCCCCAGCAGTGCCAAAGGCCAGGCCAGACCCCACTCCCACCCCACGGACACAGCACATTTATCTTGTTCTGTTCTACACAGTCACAAGGGCCAGGGGCAAAGGAAAGAGATTTGCTGATGAATCAGCCTGAAAAGATGAACAAACTGCTCCACTCTGGCCATTTTCTAACCACGTTCCCTGGGCTCTTCCCGATGGAAGACGGTTCTCAGTGGATCTGGATAAAAATGTCACCACTAATATTCCATGGGATTGATGCCAATCACCAATTCCCCCCAGAGGGAGAAGCTGGAGATTGGGAAAGGTTCTTCCCCAGAGGGTGCTGAGCACTGCCCAGGCTCCCCAGGGAAGGGCACAGCCCCAAAGCTGCCAGGAGAGTTTGGACAGCGCTGCCAGGGATGCCCAGGGTGGGATTGTTGGGGAATCTGGGCCAGGGGTTGGACTGGAGGACCCCTGTGGGTCCTTCCCAACCCAGGATGAGGATGGATTCACTGGAACTTTCCTAGACTCATGTCATAGTTCGAAATGGAAACATTTTGTACTGAATACACCAAAAATTCTTTTCTCTCTGGATGACATCGTGCTTCCAGCACTAAGTCCTTTCTTTGCACTTGCCATTGCTTAGTTTGCACTGGGAGTTTTCTGCCAATGTGGAGCAGAGCCCTTAAACTCCAGTCAAATTTCAACAATGATTGCAAAAGATGAAATTCCCGTATTCCTGGACAGGCAAATTTCCTCCCAGCTATAGAAGTGTGATGGGAAGGAATCCAAGAGGCAGTAACAAAAATAACAGCTTTAAGCAAGGAAAGACACCAACCTGAGCCATGCTATTGCCTAAGCTGGGATGTCAGAGCTAGGAAGGGATCTGGAAGGGAAGACGGATTATTTAGTCTGGCAAAGGAGCATTTGGAGTGCGGGGTGTATCAGAGGAGTGATGCAATCACAGATGATGGACTGCAGCCACCAAACTTCTCTAACAAAAAATACTTTGTGCTAGCGCAGCTTTGGGCAGCTTCCTGCAGCAAACACTGCTGGGCTGATATTCCCTAACCAAGATAAATGGAAAGCAAAGGCAATCAGAGCAATCCCCTCCCTCTGCAGTGAGATTGAAGTGACCTCACTGACATGGAATTGCTTTTAAGTGAAGAACCTGTGTGCACACGTGTAAATAATCCCAGATATCCCAGTTTGGGTCTGTTCTTCAGAGACCTCAAGAAAGGTCAGCAGGCACAACCCAGTTGGCCATTTTCTGGTCTTTTCATGTTTGAGGTAGCAAAGGATACTCAGAGCCGTTTGTTTGTCACATCTTTAAGGGCTCTGAGGGGATTGATGCACACCCAGCTCCCCAGCCCCCTGATTCCCAGAGCTCAGGCAGCCAGAGGTGATATCGGGAATTCTGAATAATTCACTTGTTCCCATTCTTGCTACATCTGCCTCAATCTAAACTAAGAGCCTGAAAATGTTTGTTGTGTGAGAATGGAAAAAACATCCCACTCAATTCCCTAAATGCCTTCCTTCCCTCTTCCTTCCCTGCCACCCTGACCCCCCAATACTTTCCAGATTAGATTTCCTCACCCTTCCCAAGCAGACCACACGCTGGGAATGACACAACCCCAGCACACAGTGTCCTACAGCTGGGGACACTCCATGGCTGCACAGGAGGCAGGGAGGGACCCCAGGGCCGTGGTGGGGTGGTGCCAGCCCTGCACCCACTCCTGGAAAAGGCTGCCCCAAGTTCCAGCTCTGCCCATCCCAGGAGCACAGAGAGCTCGGGAAGAACAAGTGTCCCATGGGCAGATGGATTTTCACTCCAAAGGGAGCTTCCAAAGACAAAACTCAAGCACCAGGACTAATTTTCCACCCAGGATGACTCAGGTTTGGCAAATACCTACTGGAAAGTCATGGAACCATTTAGGTTGGAAAGGACCTCCAGAATCAGTCCAACCTGTGCCCCATCCCCACCTTGTCCCCACCACCCTCCCAGGGAGGAATTCCTCCCCAATATCCAAGGCACAGGTAGTGCAGGTTTGTATAAGCAAAACCAGAGACACAAACGGAAAGGGAACATAGATTCCAAGTCAGATGTAATTACAGGAGGGGTTTTTTGCTATTTTCTGGATATTTCATAGCCAATACACAATTTGTGTTAGATCATCCCTAATCTCACCTAAGCAAAGCATCTCTGACATAATTAATGGCCTGTTGAACCAAAAAGATTACAGAATTTAAACCAGATTAATACCAATAAGACTTAGACTAAATTAATGTTTCATCCAAAAGCACCTTGTTTTGCATTTTCAAAGGTAACAGACACAACTCTGATTGTGCAGCTGCAGATTTACAGTTCCCAAAACAGGATACGGCACTAACAGTTTATCCACGGAGTAATGGTGGTGTAAGTGCTAATTAGGGCTGGAAAAGCAGGACCCTAACAAGCTGTTAGAACCCCTTAAGAGCTCTCCTTTACTGCTTAAAGCAATAAACTGTTGGTATATAACAGAATTTATTATACAGCAGCGCCTAACCCTCCAAAAAAGCTCTATTTAGCTGAACCAGACACGTGTATCCAAACCAACTCCAGGTATGTTTATTTTCCTACCAATCCCCTCCCGAGCCCTGGCACACACCGACCACAAACTGAACTTGCAGGGAACACTTTCTTTTCCACAAACGACACAAAACAACCCAACCCAGCCCGCGCGCTCCCACCCATCCCCGGGCGCTGCTGCACGTCCCAGTCCGCCCGGGGGCAAGCACAGCTCTCCCCTTGGCCACTCAGAGCATCGCCCAGGCAAACCTGGAGGGCTGGGATTGAGCAAGCTGCCCGCCCCCTTCCCTTCCCTTCCCTCGCCTGCCGGCCAAAAGGCAGAGCCGGGAGCGCTGCGCTCACAGCGCGGCCGCTCATTCATTCGGGCTCGGCGCTCGCAGCGCTCATCGCGGCTCTGCTGCAGCCCCGCAGCCCCGGCTCCGCTGCAGCCCCGCACAGCCCCGGCTCCGCTGCAGGCTGCAAACATAATTTACTTTTACCAGAGGGAGAAGCTCTTGCTCATAGCGGTGGATTGTTATGGACAGTAATGGTAAAGCCCTTGGATGGGGTGCCTGGGACTGTGCTTTAGGCTCTTGATTTCTCAGTTTTCCTGCAAAAGGCTGCTGCTGCCCCAGGGGTTTAGGATCTCTGTAATCACACCCCTGCACGGTTCTGTCCTGATACAGAGGGAAAGGCACTGGCCCCAGCACGGCAGGGTGTTGGAACCAGATTGTCTGTAAGGTCCCTTCCAGCCCAAACCAGTCTGAGCCCACGATTCTGTGACAGTCTGGAGGACACAAGCCTTGCACAGAGCCAGGTTTTACCAAACACCGCCGTGTAAAACTCGGTACAAAGGAACAGTAACATCTGTACCTTCCCTTCCAGCTGCTTCGTGCGACTGCCAGCGGGAGCACAGCAAGTGGGACAAGCTGTTCATCATGCTGGAGAACTCGCAGATGAAGGAGAACATGATGCTGCAGGCTCTGGATGAACTCCCCAGGCTGGAGCTGCAGACCCTGAAGGCAGAGCTGAGCCAGCTGGCCACCACCCTGGCGAGCACCTTCGCCACTGTCACCTCCCACGTGGTGTCCCAGGTGGAGCAGGTGCTGGTGAGGAGCAGGGACCAGGCTGAGGAGGCCAGGAGGCTGCAGGAGTCGGAGCAAGGGAAGGTTCTGGAGCACGTCCTGCAGCTGAGCCACAACGTGTCGGTGAGGCTGGGCTGGCTGGAGAGCGCCTGGCGCCGCAGGGCCGAGGAGCAGGCACAGGAAACTGCTCTGCAGCAGCACAAACTGGATGCCAGCAGAGGGGACAGCCTCATCCTGAGCTCGCTGTGGAAGGAGCTGCAGCAGACCCGAGCTGAGCTGAGGGCGTCACAGCAATGGGCAGCTCAGCACCTGCTGCCAGCAGGTAAGGCCAGCATGAGAGCTCCAAACTACTCCTACTAAGGGGGATCCACAAACCCCCTCCTGGGCACCTCCTTCTGCAAGGGCTCCAAAGCAGCAGGGCAGCTTTGAACAGGCTGTGTGTGAAGGGGGCAACCCCAGAACTGGTGGAAAAAGAGGCACTGAGCTTTTCAAACGCGGGATCAAAGATAGGTTTCATCAAAGTCCTCGTGCAGGGCAGATCCAGCCAGGATCCCACCTCCTCCAGGCTCTCCCAGATCAAAGCCATTGTCAGAGAGCAGTACATGTATTTTAGACATCCAGATTACGTTCTCTCACCTCTTGCCTTCCCAGCTGGTGACTCCTGTGAGTCTGCAGCAGTCACAGAGCTCTCCTGCATGTTCCCACTCCTTCCTCTTCCTCCATGAACATCTCCTCACCAGCTCCAGTGTCCAAGAGCTGGACATGGTGCTGTCAGCCAGCCAAGCACACTTCCAGGGCAGGGAGGGCACATTCCCTGCATGCCAGTGGGAATATTCTGCCCTGAATATTCTCACTGGCACAGAGAAATCAGTGACCCGTGCTGCTGTTGTTTGGGGGATTTTTCCTTTTCCAAAGCATTGGTACTGGTGGTTGTAGAAAGGGGGGCTCATACCTCAAATCCCAGCTCAGCTTTTGTGTGCAGGGCAAGGAGACACCCAAAAAAGCAGCAGCAGCAGCTTGGGTGTGGCAGCCCAGCCCCTCATTTGTTTCAACGTGGGTGCAGAATCACATTGTGCAAGATAAACCACTGAAATCACCCTGCCCACCAGTGAGCTGTCACTGCCAGCCTTCTAACTGCTGGTTAATGGCTTGCTTTCTACAAATATAAGTTATTGTCACCTAAACCCCCCCCAAAATCCACCCCCTCAGGGTGGGTGCGTAGGAAGGAGGGGGTGCAGCATCTCCAGAGAGAACTCTCACCCCAGGGATCAGAGAGGAGCAGTAATTGCTACAGCAAAGGCAACAAAAGCCACAACATTGTTCACATCAAAGCCTTTACAGCCTAACCTGAGCCCATCCCTTCACGCAGGGCAGACTCGGCTTTAGAAGTAAATTGTTTTCACTGCTTTAACACACCACCTCAGAAATCTTTGTGCTTTGGGAGGAGGTCTTTGAGCATATTCCTCTTTTCCCCAAATAAAACCTCGCAGAGAGCATGATCTCATTCCTTATCTCCCTGCACCCCAGCCAGCCTCAGCAGCTACTCTGCCCTAGGTGAGAGCAACAAACTCGATCTGCAGTGAGGATCGTCAGTGGAAATTCGGTTTATTTCCACTGGTTCCCACATGATTTTACATAAAATAACCATACTTGTAAATTTAAAGGCTACATTTTAAGTACTTCCAGAGTATCTCCCTGTTTTTGGTTTGTTTTTTTTTTTTTTTTTTTTTCCAAGGGAATTTTTAGCAACTGACTTTAATTTCTCACATCTTGACTTACTGCCAGCCATACTCTTGAGCGATTTTCTAATCACACTTTTTTGTTCTTCACTGAGGCTGGTTTTAATTTTGTTTAGGCTTTGATAATAAAGCCTGAAAGCTTGCTAATTAAAAGCTTTTTCACAATAGTGCTCCTAAGTAGCATTTTAAGGAGAATCCCCAGCAGTTGCTCACTGACCCTGCCCTTCCTCAAAAGGGTCAATGGGAGATGTAAAATCTGTTCAAAGCTGGAGGGAAGCAGCCCATGAAATACCACAGCAGCTCAGTCCTGGAGGGCACAAAGAGTCCTTCATTCCCTGGAGCAGAAATTTCCACACACGTTTTAGACATTTCGGATCCTCCAGCTTCTTTAAACAGGAAATGAAGCAGCTTAATTGGAGAAGGGGCTGCTTGTTCCCTCCTGTCACCTTGGATATTAACTTAGGTGCAGCCAGGGAACAGCACAGAAACCACCAGAAATGTCTTGGCTTTACTGATCTCCAGTTGCTTTCCCAAGTCGCATAAATTACTGTTAGTGGTTTTAACTAATCTAATTTCTATTATCAACACTTGGATTAATTGGACATGAGAGAAGAGCTGGTTAAAAAGTATCACTTGTCTCATAATTTCTCCTGTTTAACCAGTGCCCATGAAAGCTCCTGACCAAAAAACCCTAAAGGCAGGGCCAGGAAAGGGAGTCGTGTAAATTAAGGAAGCAACCCATCTCAGCATGTTCCTGCCAACATTTTCTGCTTCTCAGCAGCTCCTCATGCCCATTATCCATGGCACAGCCTCCCAGCAGTTCTCTTCTCCAGGCACAGCCTCCCCTCTCTCCTGGGAATGCCAAAGCTGCTGTTTGATGGGATCCCTGACCCCTTCCCTCTGCACAGCGTTGGTATTTTCACTACTCCACACTTAGAACAGAGGATAGAACATCACTTCAGTGGCGCCAAGGGAGGGTTACTCAATTACCTGGTAGAATTACCCAATTCCAGGGGCTGATAGAGTCCCTTCTCCCAGGAGGTGGTGCTCCATTCAGAGTGGGAAGCCCAGCTTCCCAAAGGAAGCAGCAAGGCAGAGAGGCTGCATTAACCCTTTGGATGTCCCAGGACTGTACAGTGCCCCCTGTGCAGGCAGGGAAGAGCCCAGAGATTCCTGCAGCCAGATTATCCCTTGCCATAGTGTCCAGCAATTGCCACACCAGCTCTGGCAGCTCCTTCCAATCATCCTGGGGTAGGTTCCTGCATCCCACTGGATGAGCTGAGCTCTCAGCTCCCTTTGGGAAGCCTGGAAGTGAGCACCGGATCAGGTACTGGGACAGGCTGCAGGAGGAGTGATGGAGTCCCCATCCCTGGGAGAGCTCAAAAATGGGTGGATGTGGCACTTGAGGGCCTGGTTGAGTGGTGAACACGGTGGTGCTTGGCTGGCAGTTCACAGAATCCTGGAATGATGTGGGATGAAGGGATTTTTAAAGATCATCTTGTTGCAATCCCACCTGCCACGGGCAGGGACACCTTTCCCTGTTCCAGGCTGCTCCAAGCCTCAGTGTCCAGCCTGGCCTTGGACACTGCCAGGGATGGGGCAGCCACAACCTGGTGATCACAGAGGTCTTGCTGTGTCAATGTCAAAGGTCCCAGCCGTGCACATACAAAAAACCAGTTCTTATTTACCTGACAATCTCCTAAACTTTTCCAGGCTGTGAAACCGCAATTCTGTTCCCCATGCGCTCGAGGAAGATCTTTGGGAGCGTCCACCCAACCTCTGGAATGACCCTGAGCTCCTTCACTGCCTGCATCTGGCTCAAGGTCACCGAGGCCTTGGACAAAACCATTGTCTTCTCCTACGGAACCAAGTTTAACCCCTACGAAATCCAGCTGTACCTGAGCCGGGCCACGGCCGTGCTCGCTGTGGGCGGCGCCCAGCACAAGCTGGCTGCCAAAAATGTGGTTGTTCCTGGCAAGTGGCTCCACCTGTGCGGCTCCTGGAGCTCGGAGAACGGATCTGCATCCCTGTGGGCACAGGGGGAGCTGGCAGCCAGCGCCTGGGACGTGGCTGGGGCTCACACCATCCCTGACGGGGGCATCCTGCAGCTGGGCCAGGAGAAGAACGGCTGCTGCGTGGGAGGGGGGTTTGACGAAGCTCTGGCCTTCTCGGGGAAGCTGACTGGCTTTAACCTGTGGGACCGAGTGCTCAGCCCCGCCGAGGTGACAGCTCAGAGCACGGGGGACACCTGTGGCACCCGGGGCAACGTGGTGGGCTGGGGGGTCACGGAGGTGCTGCCCTACGGAGGGGCCCAGTACGTGTCCTAAAGCCTGGGGGCTGCACGGGAATGGATTGCACAGAGCTGAACAACAATATTGAAACAGCCAGAGCTGCAGGAGCCCCTGCCTCTGGAATTCCCAAGGAACATCAGCCCTGCAAGTTCACAGAAAGAGGCACTGTGGAGATGGGATCAATGTCTGCCTGCTGTCCTGGAGAAACCCTGAAAACACAGCCACACACCAAGGCGTGGCACTGGGAAAGCTGCTCCTGGGTCAGGCAGCTCTGTCTCTCCAGTGCAGGGTTCTCTGATGTATAAAGTGAGGGTCACCACGGACATTCAGGAGCCAAATGGAGCTCCCAACATCCCTACTGAGGAAAATCTGACCTGGCTCTGCAAAACAGAGCAGCTGTGGCTGCCCCTGGATCCCTGGCAGTGCCCAAGGCCAGGCTGGACACTGGGGCTTGGAGCACCTGGGACAGTGGAAAGTGTCCCTACCCATGGCAGGGGTGGGACTGCATGAGCTTTAAGGTCCATTCCAACCCAAACCATTCCAGACTCCCTCCAGTCCTTGGGTTCTGTAGTGTTAATGTGAATTTTACAGAGGAACCACCCAAATCAAGAAATGTGTTGTCTATTAATCATTGTTAGTAATGTGTAGACTCTAAGAAAGATAGTTCCTTGTTTAAAGCATTATTTATGCCACGAATTGATAGAAAAATAATATTCCCCATCATAATCTGATATGACATTGGGAAGAAATGCAGCTGTATTATATTGTACATTGACTTTGTGATAATTTTATTGAAATTATTTTTGTAAAGTTGTTTTGTAAATAAAGATACTTTACTAGACTAAAACTCTCTACTCTTCTCATAAACGAAAATTTTGAACCAAGTCCCAAGTGGGGCTTTTTCCACATTTTGAACCATGCAGTTTTAGGTGCTGATAGAGAAAACATCAGTAGCAACATCTCACAGGAGCAGGGACCCCATGCACAATCCTGGCCCTCTGGGGCCAGGTTCTAAGGTACACTTGGACTTGTTTGCTGTCCTCAGGGGGTTTGTACAAGATAGAATTGCTGCTCAGTGCCAGTGATTCTCTTCTCTCTCACACAAACTTATCCCAAATCCCCTAAAGCCTAGGGCTGGATACAGAGCACAGCAGCAGCTGCAGAGAGCCAAGGAACTGCTGAGGATTTTTGGGTAGAAAACAGAGCACAAGCAGAGAATGATGAATACCCTACACACTGGGTATGTAACCATTTACAACAAGAACCATTGCTTGCTACCTGTTGAAGTCTCTGAAGAAGTTATCATGAGGAATGTCTTATTCAAGCAATTCCTATTTCCCCTGGAAGCAGCCCATCCTTCTTCTCTATCCCCATGTTTCCCTGTCTCTCTCATTCTCTCAGATGTCCTAAGAACAGACTTTGACAAATTTCTTGACATATTGTTGCTACACTTCCTCCTGACCATGACAGATCCTTGCTGCCCGGATACAAAAGTAGTAAAAAAAGGTAAATTTCACTTTCCTGTGCCATTCAAGAGGGCTGTGCTTCATACCTAAAGTTGTACGCACTGCTCCAAAGTTTTGGCAGCACTGCTTATTTAAGGGAAAAGAATTGCTCTGTTTGCTGGGATTTCTCCTGTTACTCTGCAATAAAAATGTATCTACATTATAAATGCTTGGCAGTAAACTTGACAAAAATCCCTCACTAAGTAATATCTGCAAATAACCTTAGCTAGAGAACAATGAAACATTACCTCTGTTCATCTTTGGCAGCCAAAACCCAGATCTTCAGAGTTACAGAAACACTCAGGGTCCCACCATTGTGCAAGGGCAAAACCACTCTCAAATCCTCCCTCTGTTCAGTGCCCTCCATTAAGTGAAAACAAATGTCCCTGAAATGCAGCAGGAAAAGGAAAATCCTCAAAAAGATCTCCTGAAATCCTTCCTGGCTGCTCCTCTTACTGCAGCTCATACCTGAAATGCTTTGTCTTGGAGGGGTCCTTCTCCTGTCTCAGCTCAGGTTTGGCAGAGGCCTGATATCCACAGCAACATCTGCTGGTGGAAGAGCATAAATACACAACTCAGCCATGCTGAAACCTTCCATTGTGGCTGTGCATCACTTTTCCCAAAACCATGAATATACTCACTATTTCTTTCTGTCAATACCCAACATTTACAAGAGGCAACACAACATTAGCACATTAGTAAGTCTTAAAAGAATAAATTTATAAATGAATTTATAAATTAATAAATACAGGATGCACATGTTTATTTTGAGGGCTTAACATCTTCATAACAATGTTATTTTAATAATTAGTTATGGCTACTTACTGCTATTATCCCTACTCAAAGGAGAACACTGATTTTAGCACTGCAGTAGCACTGTGTTGCAACAAACACTGTGAACTTTATTACTCCAATTCACTTGGAGTTCCTTTTATAGAGGAATGAATATTTCTGGCTTTTTAAACCACAAAAAAATAAAATGTAAAGAGATTAGCAACATTGTTCTATATAAAGCTAATAACGTAGGCAAAATGAAAGAACCACTACAAAGCTTTTATATCTTCCATCTGACTATTCCACCACAGAATGGGATTAATTTCATCCCCATTTCTCTTTTGGAGCCTTGCCAATGACACTAAGAGGATAAGAGCTCCATGGCTGGTGCCTCATATCAGGGCTGATAATTTGGAGTCCATTAGCAGGGAATATTAACGAGTACAGATGTATTTCCTGCCCTGTGGGTCAGCCAATCCATACCAAAACCTCCAGAGGTGCAGTAAATTCACATATTCCTTGAGAAAGCCTGCTGTTAGAGTGTGATTAATACATTTGATCACATTTATAGATATTTCCATAGGTCTGCTTTACACAGCTCATATGATTTGTTCAATGGTTGAATTGATCCTGGAGTCTTTCCCACCCCTAATGATTGATTGATTCTATAAGATCATGGTTCTGTACATGCCTAGCACAGCCTGATCTGGTCACACACCTGGATTAAACCCCAGCTCTGGGCTGGGCCTACCTTGCAGGACACTCCTGACGATGGTTTCTGTGTGCTCAGCCAGCAGCTCAGCCTTGGCAATGGCAGCCAAGGACAGGTAACTGGACATGTTCCTGCACAGCTCCTTGTTGCCCCTCTGCAGGAATTTCACTGCCACTGGCACAGCCAAGGCCATCACTGGAGGCTGGTTGTAATTCTGCAAAAATGGGGGAAAAAAAAAAGATTTATATAAAAGCCTTGTGCTGGGCAGAGTAGGGAAACAAAGTCAAAGCAACCAGGGGAAAAGAGAAAAAAAACTTGTCAAGAAAGTCATGTTTTGCTACCACCACTGAAGGCAGGAGTCAAAGAAAGAGCAAATACAGAAATTTAAAACTACTGCAGCAGGAAATGTTAAGAATAGTCCTATTTTTGTCTTCTGCTAGAGGAAGCAGCGGGGCACTAACAAAATATGTGGTGCATAAATAAAAATCAATATAAATAAAATACAGAAGATATGAAGTGCACTAGCTACATGCCACCATTTCTAATGAGAGATTTGGTGTTTGGTGCTCCTGGGAAGACAGAGGCTGTATCCAACATCCCAAAGCACAGGAAACACCTTGGAGCAGCCTTTCCCTGGAACTACACTGGACACTTGCTCACAGTGTAATAGCTCTAGTATTGATCATTAATTATTCTGTAATCATTAAGATTTCATATTTTTATTTAAACTCACAGAATCCCAGAATGATTTGGGTTGGAAGGGACATTAAAACTCGCCCAGTGCCACCCCTGCCATGGCAGGGACACCTTCCACTGTCCCAGGTGCTCCAGCCCCAGTGTCCAGCCTGGCCTTGGGCACTGCCAGGGATCCAGGGGCAGCCACAGCTGCTCTGGGCACCTCCAGCCAATTCCTCTGAACACTGAGATCCTTCAGGAGTGCAAACTCCTCTTCCTAAAATGGCTCCAAGCCTCTGAAGTCTCAGGGTCTCTGAGTGTACGCTGGGGTTTGGAATCAAGGGCAGGAAAGGTTTTCTGCTATTACTTATACAGAAAATTGTGTGTACAAAGCACACACATCCATTGCCTGATGAATTCCCACAGCAGCAGGACACATTTGTGTGTCACTGAGCACCCACATTCCTCCTGGAGCCTCCTTAACCAGTGCTGTGCTCTCCACTCAGATCTTTGAAACTGGAGCACATCCCTGTTTCTGAAAATAATCCCGCAGTGTGATTATGTCTAATTAGCAGCTGAAATCCCAGGCAAACCTGGAACCCAGATGTTCGAGGCAGCAACAGAACACTGCGAAGGAAGGCAGAGCAGACTTTCTGGACTTTCATTCTGGAGCAGCTCTGACTAGAATAAATTTAGACTGAGAAACCCCAAATCTATTATTCCACAGAGTTTGAGCAGCTCTGAGGATTCTCCCTTGCAGCAGAGACTTGCCAAGCAGTGGACACTCCCTCCCAGAGACCCCTGAGGAAGAAGGGGCTGCAGCCACCCCTTGGGTGCCAAGACAGATCATTCTGGCAGCTGCCATATGACCAAAAGCTGCATCTTTAATGAGAAAAGCCCTCCAAATAAATGAAGCTTTCTGCAGCAGCATGTTTAAATCAACATAATGCCTTGTTATGTTTGGCTGAGACACCACGGAGCAGGAGCCAAATGCTGCTCCAAGTTATTGCTCTGCTACTCCACACAAAGAATGGGAAGATAAGGCTTGGCTCTCTGACTAGGATTTAAAAGATCTAAGAAAATTCTAAAGAACAATCCTTTTTTCCCCCCCCCACCCCTTACAATAAAGATAAAATCCTTAGTTAAGAAAAGGTTTGAATTCAGAGGGAAGGAGAAAGGTTTCATTTGTTCCATGATAAACATCAGGGCAGGAAGGCACACTCAGAAGATGTGGAGGTGACAATGAAGAGCAGATTTCAATAAAGCGATACAGTGATGTTTGCAAACCTTGGGGACCTCCCTGCTGCTGATATCAACAGAGACCTGCCTGAGATCCAGCCCAGCTGGCAGATATTCATTATTGTTCCAACTGTCCCCCACATCTGCTGGAAAACCTCCGTTTATACCTCTTTGTTTTAATGCAAAGGAACTTGCCAATAAAAGCTCTGTTTTAGGGAGCAGCAAATGTACATTTATAACTCAGCTGTGGCTGCCCCATCCCTGGCAGCGCCCCAGGCCAGGCTGGACAGGGCTGGAACACCTGGGACAGTGGGAGGTGTCCCTGCCATGGCAGGGGTGGCACTGGACGGGCTTTGAGGTCCTTCCAACCCAAACCATTCCATGATTCTATGAGCTACCTCAATGATTTCAGGAGAGGAGGAATCAGAACGGTGCAATCCCCCCAGCTCTGAGTTTTAAACATAAACCGCTCACAAGCACCCAAAAAGAGAGTTACCAAAACATTTTAAAAACAATAACAACTGGCAACGAGAACACAGCACTGCTGCTCTCAGCCCAGCTCTACCTGCAGGATGCAGCTCATGATGTCAGACGCAATTTTGGCATGTGGGGCATCCTCGTCCTTGCCAGAGGGTGTCAGGTTGTGCTCCAGACAGGACTCCCAGAGAGCCACCAGGGCCTTGCCGTGCCTCTCGATGGAGGCAGTCTCCCTGATGGCCGTGGTGATGCGGGTGATGCAGATCTCCACCACGGCCTGGTCGTTGTCGTTGGTCTGGTAGTCCTGGGGCAAGCAAAACACACCTGCCACCAAACTGCTCTGCCAGGACCCCACCCAGTTCAGTTTTTGTAGCATTCCAGGGTCCTTTTTTCCATGTCCACCTTTACAACAAATGTTCAGCCTGATAGAACTCTGGAATTTGTTATCCCACAGGACTTAATTCTCATTACTGGGAAGGTATGGACCCCTGTAATTGCATATGATCTTTAATATGCTTTAAATAACAATTTAATAAAAATTATTATAAAGATGAACTTGAAATATCTTTGAAGCTGGTGGGAACTGGATTTTGTCATCAGATTTAAATATTTAAATATTTAAAATATTTTTAAATATTTTAAAATATTTAAAATATTTTAAAATATTTTAAAATATTTAAAATATAAATATTTATATAGATATATAAAAAGATTAATATATAAAATAGAAAAAGATAAATATATATACATAAAATATAAATATTTTATAAATATATTTAAAATATCTGCTCTTCAAGTCTTATCAGAAATTTAGATTGTTTATATACCCCCCTTATTAATACAATATAATCCCATTAAAAATTTTATTAAGGACAATGTTTCACTCACTGCAGCTGAACTAATAATTCTGATCTGTTCAAGAGCTTCAGAGAGGCTTCCTTCGATCTCAGCATCCTCCAGGGAGAAGAGATCCCCTGCCCGGGACAGGTCCTTCTGTGCCAAAACCAGCCCGAAGAGGTGATGCATGGCCCTGCTCAGCCGCCCTCTGCAGGCACCATGGGCACTCAGCTGGGCACAAAACGGGAACGGGCCCGGCCAGGAGCAATCAGGTTCATAGGAAGGATAAATCTGGGCTGTATTTCAAGGCTTCCTTGGCCCCAGTCTTAAAGAAAAGAAAACAAAACAAAACATTAGCAAATGCATTGTTTGACATATTCCATTTTAGCAAAGATTTTTAAATGTGTGTGAAAGTGTCACACAGAACTCCTGAGCCAGGGACATCCTCAAGCACATTCATGACCTGTGTATATTTTCACCGTCAAACACTAAGTAGCTTAAAATTAGATTAAAAAATACCTAATAACAGAACCCAAGGTTTTCTTCATTTCCATGCATGTTTCCTGAGCAGGCTGGTCCCTCGACCAGCTGCTGAAGGTTCCAAACCCCTTTCCCTGGTCAGGAGCAGAGCTCCAGGAGGAGGAGGGTGAAGCCTCTTCCTTTGTTTCCTGGATTGTTGTGTCTTGACTCAGAAAAACATTACTAGCAAGATTGAGAAGATAGCGAGCTTTGTTTAGAACAAACTGTCACTTTTGTTGCCAAAATGATCCCTAGGGTCTTTTAAACTCCTGTAAAACAAAGCCTTGGCTGAGATGAAACTCTGCTCTTCTCCTTGGCTCAGGAATGGAGCAGAGGCTGAGCCAGGCTCACACTTTGGGAAGCATCCTGCACTTGAGTCCCAAAACAACTCCTGGATTCACTCTGAGTGTCAATTCCTCTGGATTCTTCTCTGGAGTTGACAAAGCCACAAGACACATCACTTATAATTATTTGAGATATGGAGTACCCTTAATCTCTATTTTATTCTCTTTTTCAGGGGGAAAAAAAAGTAAAATATAATAATAGAATCAAGGAACATGAATGAGTTGGGAGGGACCTTAAAGCCCATCCAGTCCCAGCCCCCTTGCCATGGGCAGGGCCACCTCCCACTAGCCCAGGCTGCCCAAAGCCTTGCCCAGTCTGGCTTTGAACACTGCCAGGTGGGGGCATCCACAGAAGGTGCAAAACCAAGGCAAAACACTGAGAACCTTCTGGAAGCAGCTCCCTGGACCAATCTCTATTTTAACAGGCAGCACACTGCACCTGCTAATGCCACAAGGCAGGGCTGTTTTAATTTGCCCAGCTCTACAATGCCATTGCACAGCACTCCCAATCCCATCGAGCAGAAGCAGAAAGGAGCTGAGTCTGCAAATCCCGAGGCACAAATCACCCACCCGAACCACAGAGAGGGTGGGAGGACAGGTACGCTCACCTGCTCACACTCAGCCGTTCCCAAGTCCAAAAATAAAGGTTCAGAAAGCCCCAGACATAGATTTTTTTTTACCTGCTTGGGATCCTCCCAGGCCATCCTCAGGGATGGGGACAGGAGCTCTGGGGACAAAGCTTCCTCAGGGATGGGGACAGGAGCTCTGGGGACAAACCCTCCTCAGGGATGGGGACAGGAGCTCTGGGGACACAGCCTGTCCCTTTGCTCCTGTCCCCCCGGGCAGGGGCAGCAGGAAGCAGGGAAGGCTGGCAGGCAGGCAGGCATCCCGGAGCTGTGAATCGCGGTGCCACAGGGAAGGCATCCCAGGAATGCAGACTAAAGCAGCCTAAAAGTTACCCAGGGCTCCGTCAGGTGACCAAGGAACCCAAATGCAGGGAGGCCTTATCTCTGAATGAGCTGCTCTGTTTCCAGGGCAAAATACAAAGCCTGGTCCACTTGAGGGCAGTTGTTTTTAATAGAGGAAACAGAACTCTCTGTGTTAGTGGAAAGCTATCCTTCCCTGGGAAGGAGGGTAACAGCCCTGAGTAAGCTCACACTGTTTGAAAGAAAGACAACAAGTGAACAGCCTTGCTGGAGAGGAGATTTCCTGGCCAAAGGAATAAATGCTGTTGTTTTGCAGCCTTTACATGAGCACAAAAGAGGGTCTGAGGTTTGCTTTGGCTTTTAACATGAGCCTCAGGAGCAGCACAACAAAATGTGCCCACATAATACAGAAAAGTGCTCCAGGAAGGAAGGTCTGTTGGGCCCTCCCTTGGATCAGCTGCTCTGAAACACAGCAGTCCTTTCTGCAGGAGCTGGGCTTCATCATCCTCCTGGGTCCCTTCCAGCTCAGGATATTCCCTGATCCTTGGGAATACCATTGGCCTTCTGCAAATGATCCTCCCCTGGGTGTGCACCTGCACAACAGCTTCTCAGAGAGGTCCTGAGCTCTACCCAAACAGAGACTTTTATGGGAGTTTTATAGACAACACTCAGGATAATGCAGGAAAACATTTATTTATTGTGAGCTCTTGGAAATGGAATTATAGCAAATCCTCTTAATGCTTACATTGTGTAACAGTGCTGGAAATACTTTCCTTCCATCAGCATTAAAGAGAATTGTTCCTTAAGCATTTCCTTGCTCACTACAAGATTTGCTATTAATAGGCAGCTGGCACTGAGCAAGAGAGAAAACAAATCATGTGTCTTATAAAATGTCACTTTTAAATTTTCTTTTTTTAAAGGGTCAAGCTGGGCAATAAAACTGCTGCAGGGTGTAACTCCTGAGCTGTCTCATCACCTTGAATCTCCAGCAGCTTGACTCCACACCACCCATCGGAGTTTTCTCACTGGCTGTATTTGTGTCCCACACACAGAAGGAATGGACAAGGCAAAGGGTTTGGCCAAAGTTTGTCCATCCTGCCTGGATCTCCTGGCACTGCAGAGTGGGGATTCACAGCAGGAATTCACACCTTTCCAAGGCCAAAACATGGGGAAAAAAGCAGGAACTCCAGCACTGGGAACAAACTTCAACTCATCATTATGCAGGGAAAAACCCTCAGCTTATAACACAAACCATTTGCACTGGTTCTGGTGCAGTCCCACATTAATTCCAAGGTTTGATCTGATTTTCAACACCCCCTTTCCCGTTTCATGCCAAGCTGAAAGAGCCACCCTTTCCCTGGGACCTTGAAGCTGCTCCCCTCCAAGGTGAGTCTCTCCACTTGCTGCAGGCACAGCATTCTTACCAAAGCTCCTTATCAGAAGCAATCAGAATAAAAGCCAGCCTGACAGGTTTCAGAACTTGAAGCTACTGAATTGGTCTGTTTGCAAAATAATTCCCCCAATAATAGAAGATTAACAATAAAAATCCCATGTAAAAGGGCAGTTGGACCTACAGGCATCCAAAAGCCATTTGAACTTGAGCTGAAAGACTGAGCCCTACAGTTTATCAGGAGCTCAGCTTCTGCAGAATGACATTAGAAGGACAAGAAAAAAATATAATCTTTTAAACCAGAGGAAGGGAGAAGATAATTTTTAAAAAATATTTATAGTGAAGGAAATTCTACAAGACAATAATTTCCTTAACATCCAAAAGACTTGAAATGTAAATGCAGCTGCTTGATTTTCTGGGTGTTATCCCACTGAAAACAGAACTACAACCTTCACATAATTGCACAATGACTTTTTTTTGTCTCGTTCTGTGTTACACAACATCCAGCAGGAAAGCCTTCACTTTGTTTAAGGAATTTTAGGGAACTCAGGCCACTGGAGTTCATGTTAAGTGAACCTTTACTGGATTTTCTGGTTTCTCCCTTGCTGGAGCTGCAATGAGGACAGGGATGCTCCCATTTCCAGTTTCTTATTCCCCACAGAAGGGCTGACCCACCACAGGTGCCGAAGCTCTTTGCTAAACGCAAGGCCATGCTCATTTTCTGAAATCTTCAAAAATCTAAAAGGTATAGAATGAGCATCCACTTCAACAATGTAACTTACAGCGTCTAGTAAATTCCACAGGAGAGGAAAGTGATCTGGGAATTCCCTCGACCTGGAGAGACTCATGTCAGAGAACTGGGAGCTGTGGGCACAACACAGCCCAGAGCTCTGAGTAACCTTAAAATGGAAACAAAAACTCTTTCCTTACCTCGAAGCCATGTTGCCATGCTTAACCCATGGGTTACACAGAGCGCTTTGGATGAAAGGCACTGGAGGAAAACAGAAGGAAAATGGCATTAGTGACTCTGCCTTTCCAGAATGTAAACTCCCCCCTGGACTGCTCCAGGAATGAGTGGTTTTCACCAAAAAGGGTTTAACCCTCAGGACCTGAGCCCTTTAAAGGCCAGGGGAGCAGCTCTGCTGAGCCCTGTGCTGGTTATTCATATGAATGAACAGAGCAGGTTTGCATTTCCATGCTCTGGGGATAAACGTTTGTAACAACTGCATATTTACTTGTCATTGCCTTTTCCATGAATGGCAGGAAGATTAGGATCATCCTCAAAGAAAGATTTGAGTTTCAGGTAGAATTCCCTTCTGTTGGAATTCTTTTTCCCCATCTTACAAGAAAAAAATTGGTGGAATTTCTGTCTCAAAGAGTTACAGAAGTTTGTAATATTGCCAAGACTGCTGGATACTTCCTTCCCCCCCTGCACCAACCCAGGGAAAGAAAGAAAAAAAAAAAAAGCCTGGATACATTTCCCAAGAATATCTACATATGCAATTCATGGACAGAATATTACCAGATATTTCAGAGAACCTTTCCCCTCTGTTTTGCACTAATCAAAATTTATTTTTATGCTTGGAAAGCATTTACTCCCTAAAACAGAGCATTCTTTCAAAACTTGGAAATAAAGTTCTCACATTTTTCAGTGAAAGAAAAGGATTAAAGATTATATTGAGAGAGCATCATTTTCACACAGGGTGAATAGTCTGCAGCAGTTCCCATGGGATCAGCTGCATATATTTAAAATCTTCCCACAAGACAACCATTGTTTCCTATGAGCCTCTCTTTTTTCCAGTCAGGACAGGTTTCCACACTTCACGTCCCTTAAAATTCCACGGATGCAGAGCTGGACCAGATGATGAAATGATAAATTATGAAGTGTATTAATTAATTTTAACTCCTAGAATTAATTTTAGGGGTTAAAACTGGTATTTACTGATGGAACACCTCGCAGCAGCGCTGGGAGCTGGCTTGCTGTCAGCATCCAGCTCTTGGACACAAGGA